CCCCCTAGTGAAGTTTCACTCGTCAGACTCCAAACCACATGCCTCACCTGGATTGTCCGAGTGTGAGCGCCGAAACCCCTGAACCCTAAACCCCTAAACCCCGCCAGCAACTTTAGCACCGACCGTCAAAGTACACAGCACCAGAGACCTCGTCAGACATGTCCGAGTTGCGAGAGCGTAAACCCCTAAACCCCAGACCGGCAAGAGACTCGCAAATGCTCACTCCCGATAATAAAGGGTCTCCTGGGTCTCGCAAGTCGTGCTTGTCACTCTTGCATGTTTAAGAGTTTAGGGGTTTAGGGTATAGGGTTTGGGGTTTTAGGATGAGCTCGATACTGCAAGCACACAAAGTCCGCAAGGCCCGTGCAAAACACGCAGCCATCACCTCAATTCTGACACTGGTCCGTGCTTACCCTGCACTGAGAGTCTAAGCCCTATCCCGGAAAGTAGAAGCCAAACAGTTTGGAACATTACTATCCTGACGTCCGTAGTGTAAAGCCTAGACAAACCGCAAGAAGTCGTACTCCTGTTTTCCTTTGGAGTTTATTGCGGCTTCAGAAAGCCCATTATGAAGTTATTCAATTGGAGTTTTATGGAGACTTAAATCGTGTCTTATTATGAGACAGAGTAAATCCCGGTGAACCTCTGAAGACGGTAGAGCCCTAGGTCTTTCTGCTCGTTCAAGCGCTTCGAGACCTTCCCCAGGATCTGGCCCCAAGAGAGAATTCCCTCGTGCAGTGCTAGGGGTCTTGGGTAGAAACAAGCTTCCAGAATCAAAGGTTAAGTACTTGAGTAGTTTGTTAACGATGCATTGATTAACTATTGATCGAATTAGGTGGTTAGTTAATGAACGAATTCAGGACTGATTAGCTAGATCATTAGTTCGTTAGCCACCGAGTTTGTTTTATCAATTGCCGAACTAGCTAGTTAAGCAGCGTATGGATGTTCAGAGTCACACACATAATAAACCAACAAATCTTCATTAAATGGGTATATACCTACATCGATAGTTGGATAGATAGCCAGGCAGATAGTACACATATGTCAAAACAACGACAGGGGACACGTATGCATGCATGCATGTATGCTTTTTTTGTATGTGTGCATGTACCTATGTATGTATGTACCTACGCGTGTATGTATGTATGTATGTATGTATGCATCCTTGGGTGGGTTCAGAGCCCTAAAATCCGTGGTACATGTATATATGCTTAACTGTATAATTACGAAGACCGTATAGATATATGCGTAGATATACACATACACACATAAACGCATATATCCCATATCTATATACAAAGTTGCATTGGGGACTGCCGGTTGTTTTTGAGTTGGAAGGCCTCTGTTGTTGTACAGGTCGTAGTTTTTATGGTCTTTCGTCGATCCAGGCTCGGAAGTGCCACGGTTTCTAGAGCGACGGTTCCAGGCTAACCAGGTTTGGTGGCCTTCCGCTCGTAGTCAGCCTTCATCCGGGGTTTCGTGCTGGGTCCAAGCGTCTTGAGACTTGATCGGTGATTCCATCTGCGCAGCCGCTGGGCTCAGCACTTTGCAAGCAGTCGACGGTCCCAAAGGCCGACCTTTCTGTGGATTTCCTGGTATGTTGGCGCCAGATCAAGCCCTGAAAACGACCCAATTCTGTCTGGGCCTCCTTACATGAAACGGCCGAGTAACCTCTGAACCGTAACCGCAAAAGGCAAGAGTTGCATGCCAGGGGGTTACTTTCGTCACTCAGAAACACCGCAGGAATCTGAAGCTCCGCGGTCGCCTTTGACTACTGCTACTGCTACTGCCGGTACTGCTGCAACCACTGTACAAGTCATATTCGTTGCACTTCGAACACTATTGGACGATTGTCTTGACGCAGACGGCCGTTTGTCGTTCTGATGATGATCATGGCAATGATTATGACGATGGTGTTGGTGATGATGTTGATGATGATGATGTTGATGTTGAGTAATTATGGTGATAAGTAGTGATGCTGACGTTCCTGCTGATGGCCAACGTTGCTGGAGGATAGGGTGTTTGCGATGACGAACATCAGAAGATCACGGTGAACTTGCCATGATGATAACTTAAACTAGCTCCCAGGACTGAAACATTGCGGAAGGCGAATGTAAGGCTAATATAGGGGCCTTAAGAATTACCTATACAACTTTGGGGGTTCCGTTCTACAATTATAAGATACGGGCTTAAAAACCTATCCAAACTAGGGCATTTCTACAATTCAGCTCCCTGAGGCCTTGTGCAACCCCGAAAACTTAGGCTCTGGACAGCCGAGCTCCGAATCAAATCCCCTCAGCCATAATGGTTGGAACACCCCCACCCTGTGGTGTGGTGTTGTTCGGGTTTGGGTCTGCTTTGGCTGCGGTGTGTCATCATCATCATCATCATCATCATCATCATGCTGTTCCTTTCTTGGGTCAGCTGTCACAGGCACCGGGCCTGTCAGGAACGCGATCCTCGCGACAGTTGCATTTTTATAAATACCCTCATGTCGGAGTCGTGGTTGGAAAGTGTCAACTGTCGCAAAGATCGGGTGTATTTGGGACGAGATCCTCGTGACAGTTGGCGGCTCCTAAGGGATAAGTGCGCACTGTCACAGGGATTCGGCAATGTTTGGACACAGGCTTTTCAGAGGGAGCGGGCTCGGCGAACCGAGAAGCGGGATCATACAAGTACGTACTTTGCTTCCTAAACTTTACTCCAACATCCTCTCCCGCTACGCGATGGCAAAACGACATCCTCGGAAGGCTTCATGTCCACTCAGAGCCGTCAGACATGGAACCAGTTTGCATCCTTCTGAATACAGTCGTACACCTCCCTAGAATGGGCTATATTAAGGGTATATACCCAGGGGTCCCCATTAAGGGTCCCTCCTTTTCCTCTTTGATTCTGGGAGGCTCCGAACCATGGCCTTCCGACCGCGTGGCACCGCCGCCCCTGCAGCGGCTCTGGCTGCACTCCTGGCGCTGAGCGCGACTTGCCAGCACAAGAAAAGGAGGAGGAGGTGGCCCAGAGACTCCAATACTCCTTAATTAAGGAATATACCTTAAATTATAGTAGGATCCCTAATATGATTTAAATTAAGGTATAATAATTCATCAATTAAGGGATATTGGAGTCTCTGGGGGTGGTGGCTTCAGAAATCGAGATCTACCGTGGCATTGCAGTCAGGTCCTGTCGCCGGCTTGGATCCAGACAACGCCCCGCGTTCAGGTCGTTTCGCCGAAGGCCTTGACGCATGCACTATACCAAAGATGACGTGTCAGATCATGTTCGCGGATTTTGGGCTTCTAATCTATTGCTTTCTTGACAGAGTGCTTTGTGGCGGAACTTCTAGTACCAAGCTGGATCTAGAACCTATAGAAGCTGGGAGGCAGTAGTATTGCACTGAAGCTTCAGGGCTGAACAACTCAGACTGCCTGTAATCCTTTTTTCGGCTCAGCCGGGATATCCATCACTGCTGTTGGTGGCCCTACTTGGGGCAGGCCCAGGCCAGTTCTTCGATGCGTATTGGGTATAAGAGTATCTGATCCGGTTGGCACTCGCGTGCCACATCTCGCCATGCCTGCGCCGACTATTCCGGCCAGCAGGGGAAAAGGCCAGGCACGAGGGCTCAATTTCTGATTTCACAAGAGGATGGGTTGTGGTAGGGGGCGGAGGGAGAGGCAGGGATAGACGAACCAGAAGGGGGGAGCAAGTTGTTAGTGCGGGGGAGTGGGAGAGGGCACCCATGTGTTGAGGTTTGTGCAGCAGCTTCCAGCTAGGGGTCCGGAAGGGACAGCTATCTCGAACTTGGGTGTGTTGGTGGGGCTGCTCAGGCCTTAATTAAGAAATGTAGAGAAATAGAGAGAGGAGTGGTTGGCGCTAGGGCTCTGGGTGTTGAGGTTGGGACAGCTCTTTGGAAGCCTTACTCTTACTCGAAATCCTAAACTGCTTCCAGGACCTTATTGGGTCCTTAAGGGGTCTCGGGCCCTAACTACCCAAAGGGCCCAAAGTACCTATATAGTAGAATGTATGGTTTCGATATTCGGAACTATGATAATGAGTTGGAGAAGTACTTCCAAAGTGCCAGCCAGACGAGTCCGAGTTGCGAGAGTGCAAACTGCAAGCTGCCATACTCCAGAGTTTTGAAGCACTTAAAGATCGTAAAGTCCGTTCATTGCCCATTGCTCATAATTCTGTGTCTCCCAGCACCGGCCATGCACGAAACCCCACGCCTCACATCCGAAGACCCTCAAGCAGGTGAAGAGCCAGATCATGAGGATGAACCTCGTTGCTTCAGATGGGTGTTGTTGCGAATTCTGATGTTCCAGGTCCTTGTGACAAAGACAATGATTAACATGACATAGAGCTAGGAGATTACAAGCGTGATATCGAGCTGGAGATGTTGGGGCTTCAGGCTTGGATTGGGGTCGAAACATTCGCAACATCCCCTTGCATGCACCTGGATAACTTTGCTTTTATATGCTACACCGTCCGCCCACAAGCCGATTGTCATTCTTACGGTTCCCATCTATACATATTTTTGTATGTATATGCGTGTATGCATGCGCGCACGCACAACCCTTTTAAATCCCTGCAATAGGGTTGAGTGGTTTATAGGGCGCAGCTGCCTTTTTTTTGCGATCAAGGGTCTAGGGTCGTGGGCTTAGCGTTTAGAGTGTTCTCGGCGGGCGGCCTAAAATCTTCTCTGGTGAGCAGGATAGAGGCTTGAATAGGTCCTAACACTGTTTTTGGAGTTCTCCTGATGATCTTTTCTGATACAACACGCACCCCCAAACCCAATTCCAATTACCAAGGGCCCTGTATTGGGTCAACAGGATCAGTTGAGGAGACTCGCAAGCCGAAGAGTTAGGTGGCCACAGGCCTGAAACGCAACAGGCGACACTAAAGGTGTCAAGGTCAGAGGGTGAAGATAGTTTTAATTAGTATCCTTTGCCCGAAATAGACAGTGTCGCGAACCCAGAAGCAGCAAGGTCAGAAGCATCGAGGTTGAAATGCCCACGTCGGGCGTTGCGATTGAGATGCAGCTGGAGACAATGCGCAAGCAGTTGCTTCGACTTGCAAAGACGCATTTCGTCAACTTGTATACGGGGGCTTGTTTAAACTCGAAGGTTTCCACAGCGTCGGCACAGCAAGTAGGTTTGGATTCCAATGTAGAGGGCTCTTAGGTCATGCTTTTCGACGGCTGGCCTGGTGGCTATTAGGTGTCTGAGTTTTGCTCCGCAAACCGTGCACCTTTCGACATTTCTATGTTTGGGCTGTGTCTGTCGGCAGCGCCCAAGGGCAGCTGTGCGCACCAACGAGATGTTGCTGCTGCTGCCGGTTCTAAATTGTGGTCACCGATGGTTTGTGCCGGATTTTCTCAACACTCTGATTTCACGCTTTGCCCATTTGCTGCCTGGGTTGGGAGTAGTAGCGGTTGCATTTGCGGCTTCGGGCCTTTATCCCAACCTTTGCCGTGATGCGGTGGGCTGATGGGACTTTCGGTTCCCGTGCCCGAAATGTATCGATTACAGAATCACAGGGCGACACCTCTGTCACAAGAACATGTTCCATTTGTCATGGTCGGGTAACAGTTTACATGTTTATGGGCACTTCAACCCAGGAAGGAATAGAAATTTAATTTTTCATCCTATCCCAATCGTGAACCCTCCTCCAATCACCGTAACACCTGATTCAAGCTGCTTCCATTGTTTGCAGTGGCGTGCAAGACACAGGCGGGTTGGCACTGTTGCGTCCAACACTTTTGCAACAAATGCTGCGACGGCGCAGCCGCAACAGCCAGTTCCCAGCAAATCCAGGTCTGGGATGTTCTGACGTGAGCCCAGGTTCGAGTCGGATCTTTTGCGGGTCCTGGAGCGTGTGCAGGCGTGGAGCGCGAACCAATCCGACCCTTTCAGCTCCACTACTACTACTACTACTACCACTACTACTACTACTACTACTACTACTACTACTACTACTACTACTACTACTACTACTACTACTACGGCGACTACTTACTACTACTACGACGACTACTTACTACTACTACTACTACTACTACTACTACTACTACTACTACTACTACTACTACTACTACTACTACTACTACTACTACTACTACTACGACTACGACTACGACTACTACGACTACGACTACGACTACGACTACGACTACGACTACGACTACGACTATACTACTACTACTACTACTACTACTACTACTACTACTACTACTACTACTACTACTACTACTACTACCACCAATCTCCAACAGACAGCCTTGCCCCAGCCCAGACTGAACGATCCGACCCGTCCCCGTCTCAAAGATTCCCACTTCGATCTGCATCCTAGGAGTAACTATATGCGATGCATGATCATTCCTTTTGCTCTGTCTCGCTCTCAGTGCAGCAGCAGCAGGTACTCAGAGGCACCAAACAGAAACCCTTCTGTCTTGGCAGGGCTGTGGTGTGTGGTAAGATGCATCCAGGACGCATAGGCCTGGTACAGTTGTGACTACTGTGCCCCAGGAAATGTCGCCCTCAATCGCGAAAACGCTGAAACTCTGCATGGCTTAATCTCAGGTTCTGAATCATCACGAGGTCGCTGAACCCTGTAAAGAATCCTCAACTCCTCAACCCTGACGTTAAGCTAGCCCTTAGAAGCCCACCCCAAGCCCTCAACCCTAAGCTGGATCTGAATTCCAGAATCGAGCCGGGAGGCTTTGGAGGGACGGCTAGACATGCCGCATGCGTCTGTGGTGATTGGCCAGAAGATGAGCAGCAACGATGTGCTCCGGCTTTCCAACTGGCTGCTTACCAGGGCTTAAGGTTTTGGGCTTGCGGTTGATGATCTCTATCTCTTCAAGGCTTGTGGGCGTCTGGATGGGCGATTTGAAAAACCTTGAAAAAGACTTCGGGGTGGCACCAGCGCGCCTGCAAAACAGCTGTGGTATCGTTACTCTTTCCGCTGCAAGGTTGGGCAGGTGGACGGTGAGTGTACGTAGCTAGCAGCTGCTGTGGTACCCTAACCTTTATCCTAAACCCTAAACCCTAACCTTTATTCCCCTGAACGCTGAACCCAAGATGCACTAGCTGGACTGCTCGACCCTGAACCTCGAAGAAATCTCAGAAGCAAAGTCCTGCAACTGCAACATATCATTGCCAGCAACTTACAACGCAACACCCTTGTTTTAGTCAGGATCAGGTCTAAGCATCGCCTCTTGGTCGGCTAAGATCGAGCCGACGAAGGAGAACGCCCTAGCCCCGATCGCAAAGGCACGCGGAACTCGTTAACCCGAAACCCTAAACCCTAAATCCCGGACTGCCGAAATCCTTGGGACCTAGCAGTGCCAAGCGTGGGATGCAAAGACATCATCCTAGCATTTGGGCCATTCGGAGTGGATGGTAGAGATCGGGATCTCCATATCAAGGACTTCAACAGTTTACGGCTCAAGAAAGGCTTGCCGAGCTTGTGTCGTTGCAACAAGTGAGCTAGGGTTTAGGGGTTTAGGGCTGCCGGCATACACGACAAGTCCGTGCTTAAAACGGGGTTTAGTTTAGAGCTTATCACATTCCTTGTAAGTGTGGTTGAGAGAGCCGGGAAGCTCCACCCTGAAAGCCTTGAGCATTTGCCCGTGAACCGACCGTAATCTTTAATCCCCGTGTTCAAGTTCGCCTTGCAGTGCAGAGAATCAGACTGCCTGCTGAAATTGCATGGAGGGTAGAGGGTACCGGCCTAAAGAAACAAGTTCCGAAAAATGCGCATTCGAAAGCGGTGCCGGGGAGTCAGAAAGCTGAGTCAACAAAAACGGGAGCAGGAGCAGCCGGTGCTGAACATGCAATCGGGAGTCACAGAGACCGAAGTCGACGAGGAGGAGACTTGCCTATCCCCCGTTGTCTAGAGTTGTTTGTCTGTCTGTGTGTGTGCGTGCGTTTTAATTATCGCCGCGAAGAGTCTTAGGCAATTTCATCAGATATCAGAAAACGGTTGCCTTCCTTCTGCGGCTGTCATGCTGAGTAGGCCACACAAGAAAGGTAGCTGAATAATTACACAGCAACTCTAGTCTCCAAGTTTCTTATTACAAACTACAGAGCCCTATTCAAACTAGGAAGGCCCTGGACTATGCTTAGAGGCTTAGAGGTCGAGAGAGGACAGGGCAAGACCAAACAGGTGCAAGTTCAGACGAAGCGGCTCTTTCATAGCAAAAACGAAAGGGGGAACCAGAATACAGCGTTCTAACAATTGATGGCATAGAGATCATCTAACCGTGCGATAGAGTAGCGATGTCGTAGACTCATTGATGCAGCTCCGTGCCGTGGCTGAGCGAGACAGCGAGGCCCCTGATGATGACATGAAACCCTAAACCCTAAACTGTGGCAGACACCGAGAATCAGGCAGCTCTCCCACATGTACCATCTTAGAGCAATGCCCTGCTTTCGAAATCGGATGACGTCGACCGGATGCAACAGAAGAGAGAGAGAGAGAGAGAGAGAGAGAGAGAGAGAGAGCCTCAAACCCTTGAGCAAAGCAAAGAGCGAGAGAGAGAGAGAGAGAGAGAGAGGGGATCTGCTTCAAACACCATGCGCCTCAACGATGGTATAGTGATCGTGACCGGGTTTGCCGCATGCTTGAAGTAATTTGAACAAATTGCAGCTGAGGAGCAGTCAACAGAGGTCTACTTCGAGGAAAGTGCTTGGAGTATCCCCGTCTTGGCGGGCATCATTGATGTCAACGTGGGCCTTTTCGATCGAATGTTTGCTGGACTCTTGGTTCTGCTCAACTTCTTCATGCAGGGTGCCTTTTCCTGGGTCCTCCTGACTGACGCCTTCATTGGTGAGGCGGGGTTTTGGGTTCCAGGTTTAGGTTTAGTGCTTCAGGAAGAGTCAGATTCAAAACAAGGATTTTCCCGATTTTCTGGGTGCTTCTGACGGATGGTTTGACCGGTGAGGCATTCGAAACCCGCGTCGAAAGCGCCAAGATCTGGCGGACAAGTGTTGCTCACGATTTCAAGTACCTTTGGCTCCAATCACCTGCTTTTTCAAGGTTACACCCTCAAAATTAGGGGTCATGACCTACTATGAGCTTCTAAACCCTGAACCGTTCGGGGCTGCAGGTATCTGGACCTGGCCGACACCAGTTTGGTGTCCCGAGTTTGCACAGGCGATGGTGCGTTGATCTTGTCCACGACGCAGGCAACCTTGATACATCAGATAAACAGCTTTCTCGGCCTCCAGAAAGAACAGTTTGACCACTCCGTCTTTCAGCCTGGCATTCTGTTGGGCATGATTTGTATTATCTTATGGACGCTCTGCGTGTACAAGGACCACAACAGATTGTGCAATACTGCAAAGCTTTTGGTTTTGTTTAGCGTTTGGTGCAAGCCGAAGCCTGAGACATAACACAGTGTCCGCCATTTGGATGTGTCATGCAGACGCGCCCCCACGCCCTCAGCTTTTTTCCGATCTGCAATCCCAAACCCGAAATCCCAAAGTATGAAGGAGTTCCGACGCATTTGGTTGCAGATGGAGGCTGCTTCGACGATTCCGAAGAAGCGCAGAACCGTTTTCCGAGACAATGCCTTCGTCTGCATGTCCTGGGGACGATTTTGTGCCCTGTTGGGTACGTATCTCGCACGGGCAATCATTGCTACTGTCCTCTTGGCAGCTGGAATACTGTGGCTTGCTCGGACCACATCGATTGAAGAGCTGATGTTGAACGCCGTGGCCCTGAATGCCATCCTGGACGTGGATGAGTTTCTGTTCGCGGGCATGACACCTATCAAGATCCAACATGCCATACAGAGCTTGAAACCCATCAAGGTAAAGTACAGCCGCCAGCGCAGTCAGTTGGAATCCATTGTGCACTTCGTGACCTTGTCCATTCTTGTGCTCTTGTCTTACTATCTCTTATTGGGCCCCTTGGGCGACACCATGCTCGCAGTGAAGAATGAGCTTCTTGGCTTTATACCTTTTTTCTTGGAGGAGCCATTATGAAATACAGGTTTATCCCTAAACCCTAAACCTTTTTTTCTGGTTACTTCAAAGCCCAGGCTTTGTGGAGGAGACCAAGCCTTCGTGGTGGCTTAGTAGATGAGTGGATACACTTTACACTTTTTGGGATAATCCGACCCAGTATAATAACTAAAAGTGTACACTTTTGGGGGGCTTACGAACTCAGCAACTAAGGTTGCATATAACTCCGATACACAGCAAACCTTCGGGCTGAAAACGTCGGAGACACGTGACTATCAGACCCTTTCGGCGAGTGAGGTTGCAGTGCGGAGCCACAAGGCTACATCGCCTGAGACCACACCTGGCTCAGGGCCAGCATATCTTACATTTTCTGCGAATAAAGATTTGTTTGAGGCGGACAGGACGAGGAGCATGGCCGCGGAGTCAGCTCTCACGCCCTTCTGCATAGAGATGCTCACGGATCCATCCAATCCGCGTTTCAACGATCCCTCCATGCAGGCGATGACTCCGTAATCCCTAAACCCTAAATGAAGTGTGAGCGCCGAAACTCTAAACCCTAAAGCCTATAAACCCTGGAATCCTCGCTGTGGTTCGTCCGAGGGTGAGTGCTGAAAGCCTATAAACCCTCCATGCAGGCAATGGCTCAAGTGCGTATCGATATTGCTGCGCTCAGTGTCGGACGGCCAGATGTCGACAACTGCCAGGGTCTCGGCGACCTGTGCCTCGTCCTTGACATGGGCGTTTCCGAAAATTAGGAGCACCCTACTTTGGGGCCTTACAGTAGGGATCTTCGTATTTATTTGGGGTACTGTATTAGGGTCCCGATTTTTCGGAAACTCCCATATGGGCTTATTTATACAGTTTACAGGGTTTAGGCCATGCTTTGCAAGGTTCAAAGTTTGTGCTGCTCATCTGCTAGATTACATTCTACCTCGGTCGTCTGTTCGTAGCGAACACTTTAGGTTGAAGTGATGCATTTGTGAATAGCTAATGCAGGACTATAGACAGGGGTTGATGTTGATAGCCTCCAGCAGCAACACATCGTTGTTACTACAATTATCGGCTTGCCGTATTGGGGCCTAAAGTTACAATCCAAACATAGGCCCTCACCGAGCCATGCGAGTCGTGGTGCCACTTCCTAGCCCTCATTGTCATCAGTCCTCTTGTAACTGTATATATATATATATATATACATATATATATGTATATTTCTGTATGTGTATACTTTATATATATATATATATATATATATATATTTGCCCGCACTCAAGTCTCGAACGCCCGACGCTTTCAGCTGAGGTGTGACACTTTTGATGCACGCCTGGTGAGATTGACATGCGGCACTACCTGTGGATGTTTAAACCCGTCGCTCGGACCAGGACGTGGTTGCTTGAGTTGTCGTGGTCGAGCTTACCTATGATTACTGCACATTTTATAGGAGTCAGAGTTACTGGCAACAGTATTCCTCATAACTCAGATATAATTGCGCTTTGATCTACTACGCCCAAGCCTTATTGGTCAGGTCCCTATACTCACGAGGGAAAGTTTGACGATTCCTCGTGAAAGAATGCTGCTCGATACACTGAGGTTCGCATAATTTCTCAGGCGAAGTCCCCTAAACCCTAAACCATATCTTTCCTCTGGCAGAGCCAAGAAGAAATCCCGAAGCCGCGATCGGGCTCAGGTACAGTTCCGCGTGGTACAAGGTGGAAGCTCAAGGCTGCGCCACCGCCTGTCTCAGTGCTGCTTCGTCAGAGAAGTACTAGGGCTACTCGGGTCCTTCGTAGCTTATGAGGCCGAAGCATGGGGGTGTACGTTGCTGACATATACTTCGGCATGCAAGCCCGCAGGTTTCTGCTTGAACGGTACATGTCGTTCGGAACCAAAGTCACTTTGCAGCTTCCTCCATCACCCCACACATGAACACACATGTGGAGACATGCGTGCCTGCCAAGAGGCAGAGAGAGAGAGAGAGAGAGACAGAGACACAAACACACAAAGACACGCATGCACTCCTGTGTATATATATATATATATGTATATGTTGATGTGTGTTTTTTGTGTGTCAATATGCATAAGTGTATATGTATGTGTATATACATACCTTTACTTTTTACGTACGAAATATATGAACATGTACATTTATGCATATGTACATGTCTATTTCTGTATATATCATGTTTATATGTATGTTTGTATGTATGTATGTATGTTCAGACACCTCGCCTGCTTTGCCGAAAGCGGGTACTAAACATATGTATGTATGTATGTATGTATGTATGTATATGTGTAGATTTACTTGTGTATACGTATGTGTATATGTGTACACATGTACACTGAATAAAAAAAAATATATATATATATATACACGCTAAGAGCCCATTTGCTCAACAGGGGCGAGGCTGTCCAGTAGCCTTACAAGACACTGCCAGAAGCCGATTAACACAACACAACTACGGTCATGAGCCCGCAGCAAACATCAGCGGGTGCATGGCCATCATGATCTTTCATGACGCTCCAAGACTGTGCCAAATCATGTGAGCAGGTGTTAGGAACATGTCATGTCACCATGAACCCGCGGGAAATGTCGCTTCGTAGTACGGCTGTGACTCGTGCTCCACACACGTGTCCTTTGAAGAATTCCTCTTGATGCAAAGCTGGCGGTAGGACGTTGCTATTGCATCACCAACATGTCCGTACCAATGCAGTTCATGTTTTCATAGACACATGGTATGCACATGATACACAGATCGGAAATTTACAAAGTTTCCTTTTGCTCCCTTCTGCAAATCTCACATAGCTTTGCTTTGTTGCACTCTTGCTTATGTGACTATGTCACCAGCACTGCGGATATTGTGCGAGTATTCGGTTGCGATAATCGCGTGACTGCAAGGCATACCACATGATGGCATGCAAGTACATAGCAAGCATTGCCAACAGCACCAACTCAAAGCATCCTCGGTCGCAACAGCTATTGCTAATACTGCCTCTTACTGTACTGCTCACGCCGTATCATAAGGATTCTTGAAAACAAGCCAGACGCATGTATGCGACTAATATCAGTGCCATGATTTCTTTGGTCATCACTGATGGATGCGGACTTCGAATTTCACATGCACGGTTCGTACCGTTGAGGTCTGAACCCTGTACCTCATGTGTTTTGCAACACTTCCCGTCGTCGTATACATCCTGTCTGGCTGTGTCAGTTTAGTTAACTTTTCAAACGTATCGAACACTTTCATGCGGTTGTTTCTCGGATCGCTAGTTTTCTGTAGCAATGAGCGCATCCGCTTCATGAGCACGTTGCATGATGTTGTTCGTGATCTCGATGCCGTGGGTCATGAATGGCATTTTCCAGCCGTGCTGTTGACAGTAGCTGTGCTGCTTCATGTAGTTCGAAAATAGGCATTAGCAATGCCAAGAAGCTTCGTGACGTTATGAATGCGACTGATGTCTGGAACATGACAGGGGTAGCAATGTGGGAATACTTTTCGGACTTGTACAACCTCAGGAAGTTTGGCGGCACTTTTGCAATCACTCACGTTAGCAACATTGTGGTTTCACTGGTATTCCTCAGCTTCAAGTTTGTCCCTTTGTATCTTTCTAAACCAGGTTTTCATGCCTACTTAGAACTGAGGGAAGCATAGCACGACAAAATCTTTTTGGTCGCATTTGGAGTACATTCTTAGCGTTGATGAGGTTGGCCAAGCTGGTTGGCTTACCAGCAGTAGTTCCAGTATTCATCGCCGTTGTCGTAGATGCCGTTTGCACCGTGCCGAGTAGATTCACAGCTCAGTTACCTGCTTCCAACATTCGAACGAGTAGATACAACACATGAGCTGAGTCTGGAGTTCCCATACCGTTCCGAAGCATGACAATCCCCTGCGCGTTCCGACTTTCTAGCACTCGAACAAGCGAGACCAAGAAATGGAATTCCGAATTTGCCAAAACTCCCACAATGCCGAAACTTCCAAATATCCTCAAGCTCAGATTTGTAGTTTTGGACATTCCTAGAGCTTCATGAGGTTGCGGAGTGTCGCGCTTGAAAATCGTCAGACTTATTGGATTTCGGAGCTCCGAAATTCCAACAGCACTAAGCATTTTTGGGCTGGCAGATTATGGTCCAATGGAGGCAAGTAGCTTCACATGCACACATGTACCTGCATGAAACAAACATATACATATATTATATGTATATATGCCTGTTATCAATGTGTCTTCATGTTGGAAGATGTGCATATATTCTATATTGTTTTGGCATGCACGCACACACGCGCACACCCACACACTCTTATTGGCTGTAAACTCAACTTTTCAACTTTTGGGGTTCTTACAAGGTAGTCGATTCTGAAAGTTTTAACTTTTATTTTCTTGAGTTTTGGGCCAGTGAGCACTATGTATGTACATATTTCGTACTAGGCCCGTAGACAGAGACAGACAGAGAGAAATGGAGAGTAAGTATGCGCGTCTACACTTGCGCGTGCGTGCGTGCGTGCGTGTGTGTGTGTGTGTGGGGTGTCTGTGTATATGTGTGTTGGGTGTTTGTGTTTTTGTTCTCTGCTTGTGCGTGGACGGGCGGTTGCATGCATTCATGTGCACACAGGCACCACTTGCCTTTGGCTGATGTGCTATCTTCCCCGCATTCGCTTTCACTAGTAATTAACACGTTGGTGCTTTCGCTTCCTATTTTAGGCCAGATGAACTTCCAGAGCTGGTACTGGTATGTATGGACGCGTAAGTGGATGTACCTGTTTAGCGAAGCCAAGGTTGCCGACATGAGGATGATGAACAGTACCTGCCAGGACATGCCTCCAGATGACAACTGGAGAAAGTTCTGGACACTCTACCCCTCGGTTCTTTCGTCGTTCTATGGGCGTGACATCAGAGGAACCACCTTCTATGCAGACATCACTCAGACCGTTAATGCGATGATTTCTGGTGGTTGTCCAGTTCTTGCTCAGTCGCCATTTGAGTTGATGACTCAAGCTTCTTGGTGCCAGGGCTTTCCAACTTTGTTCCGTCCGCTCGCTACAGTGTGCCCGCAAACATGTGGCTGCAATCTTGCCAACGGAGAGCTTCCAAGCTATTGTCCCCCCAGCTGCGCAAGGGCTGGCAACAGCTCGTCTGCGTGAAGATGCATGCGCTACTGGCAGTGAAGGCCGCTGTAGCGTCATAGATGTGTTTCACGCAGGCAGCCGGCAAACGCCGTTTTGCTGCCGAAATGACCTATTGACGACCATGAAACATGTGTCAGGTGATGCTTTCTTCTTGCGAAACCGGATGCTGACAGAGCCTCAATGGGTTGTGCGAGTTGCTTCTGTTTTCGGTCCTGTGCATTGCATGCATGACTGTCATGTCAGGCAGAGGTCGGTTTTTGAGCTACGGTCGATATTAGGATCCGGTTGAGGACAGACATAGAGTTCCATACAGTTTTAATGTCAAGGCCCCTATATCAGGTCACATATTTTCAAGGAGCCATGTCCTTGTGTGATAAGTCTTGGGAGTTCTTAGTCTGTGGCCCCAGCGAGGAGGTCTGCGGAGCAGGTTTCATGCTGCACACGGGTTGTTAAGGCGACGTCGAACAGAAGAAGGCCATTGGTAACTGGTAACACCCGTAACCGAACACTCAATGAGGTAGTTCATGATGGAACAAAAGTATGCCGGTCATGTCTTTATAGTAACATCGAGGTATCTGACCCCTCCCTATCAGCAGACTGCTTCCCCAAGTAAACCAGGTCCAGGAGTGCAAGGAACCAGGATCCCAAAAGTTAAGCAGGCTGCCGAAGGAACAGCGCGGTAAAAGCGTCAATATGCTTGTATTTGTTAAACCCGGCCACGAGCCCTAGAATCGTTGCGGTTCGATTTTCTGCTTCTCTCATGGGAAGCACAATCACAATTCTGGGCCTTTTCAGAGATCGGCTTCTCTAGCACAAAGTAAGATAATTAAGGCTGTCTGTAACTGCAGGGTCGACACCGACACATATCAAGGCGTCACTCTTCATTCTTCCGCATGCGACTCTGCAGAAGTTGAAGAAGGATTGATCCATCTGCTTGTTCTTATATCCCTGCGGTGAAGCCAAGAGGCTCGAGACTTATGCGGAAGGAGCCAGAGGGTTCTTCAAAGACGACGAAGGGCGTCGTTCCGCCTGCTCCGAGCATGGCTGCTATGTGCTCTCCCTGTAGCTACGGGCATGACTCGAGGGAGGCTGGTACCGTACCCGGTGTGTTGGTGGATATGACTTCCCCTTCTGGGCAGCACTTGGCGGACAGCTCGTTCTCACGACTGCAAGATCAGCTCCAGTCCGACATGGCAAGGATCCATACCCTCTTGCAGGACCAACTTCAGTCCGACTTGGGTCGCGTCCATGAAACTTTGTCATAGTTGGGTAACATTTTACATTTTTATGGGTCCTTAAACCCGATAAGGAATAACACAGTTCTATTTTTAATCCTATCCCAACCATGAACTAGGAAAGACTGGAGTTCCTGGAGGCACACTTGGGGCTCGAGAAGCGATCTGGTGTTGAGCCTAAGTCGACGGGCTTAGACCAGGTCAATCTTCAGGTTGTGTGCACAGATCCAGCGAAATCCGAGTCTCAAAGCCACGACGAGAAATTCGAGGAGTTTTCTGAAGTCCACTTTGAAGAAAGTGTTTGGAGTATTCCTGTGGTCTTCGGTTTGGTCGACGTTGGCTGCTTTGACATGCTCTTTGCTCTCATTCTCGTGCTCTTGAGCTTGGGCATGCAGGCGGCGTTTTCTTGGATTCTCTTGACAGCTGCCCAGCTCCGATTGCGAGGGTTTGCTTTCTCAGAGACACTTAGTAATTTAGTACTAAGATGATAAGTTGGGACTCATTGCTTGTTTTTAGTAGCATTTGCGATCCGAGGATGACTTCATTGGTGAGGGCTTCGATGCCCAAATGGAGAGTGCAAAGACCTGGCGAACAAGTGTTGCACACGATCACAAGCATATGGATCTAGCCGACAGGAGCTTGGTGTCGCGAGTCTGCGCGGGCGATGAATCACTGATTCTGTCCACGAACCAGGCCACCTTGGTGGAGCACATCAACAGCTTCCTTGGCCTCAGCGAGTTGGACTTCGAGCCACCCTTTTTCCAGCCGGGTGTTCTCCTGTGCATGCTTTGCATCATTCAGTGGAGCCTATGCGTTTACAAGGACTGCATACAGAATGATACGTGGTTCATGGTCTCACGTTTGAATGTGTTGGCCTTGACGTTTTCTGCTCTACTAAGGCCTTCCGAGTGATAGGCCTGCAAATATAGGGGTGCGGAGGAGGAGGGGGAGAATGAGTGACGAGAGGAGGAGAGCAAGGGAGTGCCGGGGGGACACAGAGAGATGCTACTGACGGTGTGTGATGTTGCTGATTAGGTGGAAGGAGAGCCTGGTGGTGACGATGATGCTGTTGTTGGGATAGGCACCAAAAATCAAAGAAGGATCAAGACATATCGAATAGGGTCCAACAATAAATCAATCCACGGATCAACAAAACCCCTCAGATGCTGCAAATTACAGTATTTGGTCCATCACTCGGAACGGTTTCTAGTCCAGCTGAAGCGGAGATCTCAATATTGTACCGAGTATCGTTTATTGATTGCCTTCACTGCTACTTTTACCTGTTGCCTTAATTCTTACTGTCTGTATGGAACACACATACGGCTACGGCCAGTACTACTGCGACCCCAACCACCCTGCCAATGGCACCCTGTCTCGCACTCCCCCAAGCCCCCTCACCAAGACAGCAAGATCCCACAAAAGTCACAGTCCTGCGCCGCTGCTTGGTTGGACAGCAGAAAACCTTATCCTTGTTTGATTTGTCGTTGATTTTTGTTTGATTTTGTTTGACCCGAAACTTGGTAATCTTGAGCATACCTGGGCCGCTGTTGTCGTTGTTGTTGTTAGTCTTGCTCCAGTTGTCGTCGTCCTCCCCTTGTCCTCGTCCTTGTCCCAGTCGTCGCCATGGTTGGGAAGATTGTGAAAGGGTTATTAGGATGATCACCATCATGGCGGTGTAGTATGAGCTCGGCACCTGGAAGTTGCAGATGTGCACGTGGGTGTTGACGGTTTGCGTTGTTTCAGCATATCCGGCCGGATTCTGGGAGGAGATTTTATGTAGAGTGAAGGTGGAGATCAGAGGTGTTTAGAAGTCCGTTTGGCGACAGGAGTTGCGCCGGATATGGCTGCAGTTTGAGGCTACCTGTTCAGTTGCAAAATCTCGCAGAACGGCTTTCCTTGACAACTCCTTGGGTAGCATCTCATGGTTCCGGTTCGGCATGCTCTTGACCACGTACATCTTGCGAGTTGGCATTGCTTCTGTTCTACTGGGCGGTGGGGTTCTCTGGCTGGCTCGAACCACATCCATTGAAGAACTGATGTTGAATGCAGTTGCTCTGAATTCCATCTTGGACATTGACGAGTTTGTCTTTGCAGGTATGACGCCGATCAAGATTCAGCACGCAATACAGAATCTAACTCCAATTCGGATCAAGTACAGCCGTTGTCGAAGTCAGCTGGAAGCCTTTGTTCATTTCACATCGCTCTTGGCGCTTATCTGTGCCTCCTACTTCCTGCTGCTGGTACCCTTGAGTGATACCATGCTTTCTGTAAAACAGGAGCTTTGTGGAGGCCTCCAAACATTCGTGGCTGGGTTCTGCAGTACAAGTACCATACTTGAATGCTTCTTTGGGTTTAGGAAGCTTAGAGGTTTGGGTACCTTTTGTTGGTACCTGTTACTTAGAGGAACCAGTATGAACCTGACAGTCTGTACTTGTTTCTCCTGGGTTACTTCAATACCCAGGTGGTTTCTTACAATGCTGAAACACAGCTCGTCATTGGACTGTACACAGCAGAGAACAGCGATGCACGAAACCTGTCGATTAGTGAATCTGCCGTGCAGTCTTTCAAGGATGCACCTCCTGGGACGTATCCAGAATTCATAAGGTTTGCCGCCACCAAAGGCTTGTTTCAGCAAGAAATCTCGCGCAGCATGGAAGACGAGGCTTCGCAATATCCCCTTTGCCTCGAGCTCGACGTTCTAAACGAGAATGGGGCCTTCCATACCGACATGACGCTGCGACCCCTGGCTACCATGGTCCTGAATTCTGCGGCAGCCGCAGTGGGACGTGCAAATGCCCAGAGCTGTCAAGAGCTGCAGGACCGCTGTGACGATGCAGACGGTCGCCTGCTGCGGCTGGTGTGCGGTGAGACATGTGGTTGCACAGATCCCTTCAGTTCTGCGTGGTACAAAGTTCAAGCCCAAGGTTGTTCTGTATCGTGCCTGCAACGCAGGGAGCCGAAGCTGCAGAACCGTTCCTGCCAGGATTTGCCCGTGGATGATACGTGGCGCACGTTCTGGTCTAGCTATGCGACTGTACTGTCTGCCTATTTTGGCCAGCCAGTGGAAACCACGCAGGCATTCACCGCGGTGAACCAAACTCTGCAGGTCTTGGGTGTGGGTGGATGCCCCGTTTTGGCACAGTTTCCACAAGACTTCCTGACTGGCACTTCATGGTGCGAAGGCACACCGGAACTCGTCCGGTCGTTGGCTTCCATATGCCCAGAGTCGTGTGGCTGCAACAACCCGTCGCCGGAGGTTTCACATCTTTGCCCTCCAAGCTGCCGCATGCCGCATGGCAATGCCTCAACTTGATGTGAACAGGTATTGTTAGTTTCGCTTATACGGTCTCAAGTTATTCTAGGTTATGCTTTCTGATACTGTTCTTACCCGTGCATAATACTATATCTGCTGTTCTATTGACCATGCATGACACTGCTCACGTCATCGCCATAGACCTAGCAGCTGCCGCATAGCAGCTTGCGGAAGCGCACTTGAGAATCAACTGCGCTGAGGCAGGCATACTCCCTCAACCCTAAAGAGACGGCGAGTCGAAACAGGGTTGCATGACGGGTGCGCGAGAACCGGCCTAGAAGTGGCGAGGAGGCGAAGCTTGCGCTTCGCCCGGCCATGGGTAGCCATTCGGCTCAAGTGCCGCATACTTGCTTGACTGCTTTTTGCCTGCTGTAAGTTGTGTTTGGCACAGACATGAACACCCCCAGATATACGAATTGCCACTACATTCATTCATGGTCATATGAGGATGCGCAGGATCGTGGTGCATCTCACTGACAGGGCAGCATATGCGCATCGCTAAATAGAGCATGTGCACGAATTTCGGTATCGGCAATCATGCATAGGTCAAGGGCCATTGGAGGTACTGTCTTGAATTCTGGTTAATTTGAGCCATGCCGACACCATCCATCCCATCAAACGATGAGCACGGGAACTGGAATCCGGATGACATGACAAGCCAGGCGTCCAGCGAAGTCATCAAAAGCATCCTGATAGATGTTCCGGCGGCCGGTGGCGAAACTGATGGTTTGGCTGTGCTTCGGGCTCAATTCCAGTCAGAGGTTCAGGCCATTCTGGCGCGGTTGCAGGCAGTGGAGACACATCTGGGAATGTCAGCAGCACCTCCGACGGACAGGAATAATCTCTATCATGAGGAGGATACCCGCAGCACCGTGAAGAAAACCTGGGTGCAGATGCCGCATGACGCGACCATTGACAACGACATGCTCACCCAGACATCCAGGCTGGAGGAGAAGTCGACGCCGGTCCGTTTTGAAGAGAGTTCCCTCGTCTGCAATATGCGAGTTCTCACAGACTGCACACAGAAGACTTTTCAAACATAAAATAAGGACGCGACTCAAGTCTGTGTGCGAGACAGAAGGCGAGAGAGAGAGAGAGAGGGGAGAGATAATGTAAAAGACAAGTAGCCACAGGAGAGTCTGATATCGTATACTTTGTGGCTTAAGGTGTTGAGCTTGTTGGGCCTGAGCTTTCAACTCCGAACTTTGACTTAAGTCTTAAGGCGCATGGAGCATTCCGATGGTCATTGGCTTGGCCGACGTCGGATGGTTTGATGCGATCTGTTCGCTTCTGCTGGTGCCCCACTGACTCTAGTTTAGGCAAAGGGGGCCACCCTAAACACTGGACCCTACACCCTTTCTGGCAGGGGCTTGGCACAATGGTCTTATTGGTTCGGGTTTTCTCGGACAGACGTTTGGTATCCTTAGGCGGTGCGTACCTGGCCTTCTGTCCTTGTGGGAAGTTTCGACGGATCCCGTTAGACACGGGACAAAGTTGGTTCTTCTTCCCACAATGTGCATTCCACCAAGCAGGTTTCTTTCAGGTATTTTCCTACACTCACAATCCAATCCGTACAAGCTTTGGGGTATCAGAAGCTCATTGCACACTGAGAAGGTGGGCCCTGTGCCCAGGCTGCCAAAAGGTGCGATAACTTCGTGATGAGATCCCTTAGGTCACGACCCCTGCACCCAGTGGCATCCCGGCCCCAAGTTACCGGCATGGCTTAAGGTTTGAGGTTGAGGGATTCTGTGAACTCCCCCAAGTCAGGTACTGCTCAACTTCACCATGCAAGTTGCTTTCTCAGGCCACTGGCACGAAGCCTAGTATAGCAGACTTTTGATGGAGCGGTCGAGGTGTTTCTAACTCTAACGTCTACCGCCTTATAATTATACGATCCAGGACTGAATCCCTTCCGGTACACTATGTCCAAGATACGTCATCCGTGGCCTGTCGCATCCGTTCTTTACCAGGGGTTGATGGAAAACGTGTGTGCTAGGTTAGCGTTACTTTTAAGGTATCCGTGCTTCACTTAGCCGTTTGGAGCAACGAGGATGCTCAAACATGGTCGCACATCGAGCAACTTGCGACATGAGGGCTTCAGAACAGCGGGGAAAGCTCAAGTCTTGGTAAGCACCAGGGTTTCGATGTTCAAAGGAGTTCGACGATCTGGCACACTTGTGGTGACAGCGTCATTCCACCGTGATCACAGCCGCACGAACAACAAGCTTATTCTCCTTGTAAGACTCTTGTTGAATTTTCAATGAAGAAGTGGACAACGCTATGCAACAAAAAACCTGCAGGTCCAACCCTTTTGAAAACCAAACCCTCTCCCAGATTCTCAACCAGGTTACTTGTAGGTGTATGGGCGCCGGAACAAGTAGTATGAGGTGGGCCAAGGGGTTAGCTAGAACCCTGCAACTATCCCCTTGCCCGAGACGGGAGGCGTCCTGCTCTCCGACAGCTTCATGGGCGACAGCTTTGACACGAAGGCCCATGCCACTATGCTTTCTTGGGTTGTGAAGGTTTACATAGGACTTAGCAGATATTTTTCGGGGAGAAGGTAGGAGGTCTCCAAGATGCTGCTGATGGTGTTGATGAGTACGACGGCGACCATCCAGATGATGCTGAGAAGGCCCACACGAGCCACAGAAATCACGGTGCTGCTGATGGCAAGTATAGGCGAGGAGGATGATGGTGGTGGTGCTGGCGCTGGTGCTCGCTAGTGACGACGATGATGGTATGTTGCATGTGATGCTGATGGTGATTTTGGTTTTTAATGATGCATGAGGACAGTGATGATGGCTGCAGAGCGTCGGCCAGCATCATGACATTCCTGATTCTGATGTAGAAAATGGTGGTGATAGGAAATTGCAGAGGCAGAAGCTGTGCTGCAATGGTCGGCATTTTGGCCAACCCTTGATAGCCGTGATGGACATGAAGACGAAGACACAAAATCATGCAGATTTAGGGTTTAGGGTTTAGGGCCAGAGTTCTTGGCAATACGTCGGAGGGTCATATATTCTGGCAGCCAGCAAGCCCAGTGTCAAAGAGGGCCAGAGTTCTCATGTGAAGCAGAAGCGAGCTGCTAATCTGAGCCTTTCTCAGTCCTCTTCAGCATGGAAACCTGCGTTCACATGGCTGTGTGAAGGAGATTCATCCCACGATACGTCCATGACCATAGGATCGACTATTTTAGGGGCCTTAATAAATACCAATACCATTTTGGGGGTTGCTTATTATAGTTATAAAATATAACGGGTCCCAAAACCCGAAATTCTAATTACTAAGGCCCCTATAAAACTGATCTCCAGGTGGGCAGTGCAAAGACCTGGCGGACGAGAGTGGCTCACGACGATGCCTACCTCGACCTCGGAGGCCTGGGGGGGTCGTTTCATCTTGTTTAGGGTTTAGGGTTTAGTTAAATTTCCCCTACTATTTTGTAGAGAACCATAATCGTAAAGAAGGCTGAAAGGACAACTCAGTTGACGTGCGGCAGGGATTCTGAGGACTGATCAACAGCATGCTGTACCCATTCCAAGCGCAAGCCGAAGTTCAAATCTGCAGCAGCCTTCAAAATTGTATACAATCACCGAACTCTAGAGCCACCGCTGTGTGGTCTCTCAAACCGTAATTAACCAGCATTCGTTGCCTTACCTACTTTCATTGCAAAAAAGTCAGATAGAAGGACGGCGTACATGCAAGAATGACAGTGCCGCCAATCGGAAGGTGCATGCCAGAGTCAGCAAGAACCCTGACCAGCGTTCAGGGTTTCGGATTTACAATTTATGTAAAGTTGCAGGTTTTAATTGAATGTGATTTGTAATGAACATCATGGGCCTGGAGGTACAAGCCTGGTGTCACGCGTTTGCGCCGGAGACGGCGCCCTGATCCTGTCGACGCAGCAGGCGAGTTTATGGCCCGGCGGTCCGATGTTGACGGCTCCGATCTAGAGTAGTGTAGAAGGGCCTGAATATAGTTAGAATCGGGTTTGGGGATATTTTTGTCATCTTATAATGTAGTTATTCAAAAAAGCCCTGGGGAATAGTATTCGTAAGTCTTTAGGCTTCTACATTAATGTGTGTTCCGGGAAACTTTACAACACGGCAGGGTGCATCGGGCGCTCATTCGCAGGCCTTTGAGACCACCAAAAACGCGTGTCCTAGTAGTTCAAAATGTCCCCGAAATGCGTGAACCCGGAGGCTCCAATATCTGTTAATTCAGGAAGATTCCTGAAATCATATTCGGGATCCTACTGTAATTTAAAACTTAAGGGTATTTAAGGTATACTCCCTAATCTTGCTATAATTTAAGGTATATTCCCGAATTTCAGGGATATTGGAGTCTCTGGGAACACAGGATTCCTCAGCCGCGGCCTCTATCGTTTCTACAGGTCGCCTGTTATATTTCCCTGGCGCTGTATTCTTCGATTTTTTCTGCAGCGACATATATATATATATATATATATATATAAATACATACATACATACATATATAACACACATATAGTGTATCACCGATTTAAGATGTCGGATAGCCTGTATTTCAGATCTGCAGCACTGCAGATGCCTTTCACAGACAAGTCTGTTTGTGCTGTCCGGGAGGGCTATGCGGTTTCGGACCGGGGTGTGTCAGGGGAGTTGGGATGCTTCAGGGCTGCCGGTTGCATTGCAGCAGGCGACCCTGATCGAGGAGCACCTCAGATGCGATTCCGTCCCCCCCGCCTTCGTAGCGCAAATATGCTGCTGTAGAAACTCACACGCGGCTGTTGTTCTTTGACCAGCAGCATGGCATGCCCAAGCATGCTTGCGAGTTTGCACCTGCTTCCATGCTTTCTGCAACTGGTGCGCGTTTGTCTTGTTTCGTACGTACGGAGCACTTCAACTGCCATCGCTCACAGTTTGCTACGAGCGTGGCGTATGAGGGCGGATGCGCACTTTCGAACTTTGAAAGCACCAGCTTTGCTTCTAGGAGTTGCCATTGCAGCATGCAATCATCCATCATTGCTTGCGACGTCGAACAGCACTGTAACTGTAAGCCTAGCCTGTCCAAGGATCAACAAGTTCCTGGCATTGGGAAAGGACGATTTGGAGCCTCCGGTCTTTCAGATTGGAGTAATGCTTTGCGTGCTGTGTATTCTTCTCTGGAGCCTCTGCGTGTACAAGGACCGGCTCCGGGGAGCTTGCCTCCTGCGCTCCATCGTTAGGGTTTAGGATTTAGGGTCAGTTTAGGGTCAAAGGTGTGATGTTGCATTTGGGGCCTCGACTAGCGAAATCTAACAGTAGCATAGGTGGGAAATTGAGAGCTTGCAGGGTTGGTCGCAGGATGTTTTCAGCACCTATGCATGCATGACTCGACAGGAGATACGCCGAGTATGGCTATCCTTAGAGGCGACATTGCAGATTCCGAAGGCACGCAGAAACTCGGCTCCACAAGCAGCAACCCGCAAGTCCCAACCTCAAATCGAAGCCTCTGAAGCCTCGCTGCTAGAGTCGAAAGGAGTGACCCAGTTGAGACAGAAGAGGAAACCCTTCATAAACTGGGTTGTTCTTTGGCATCTTTTTAAATTTCCCCTACTATTTTGTGGAGAACCATAACAGTAATAGTAAAGAATTCTCAAAGGGCTTAGAGGACTTGACAAAAAGTGCTTGAAGCTCTTAGGGCCTGCCGGTCTTCTGAGAAATGAACTTCAGGGCTCGGGGCTTGGGTTGGTTCGGGATTCGCCAGGAGTTGCGATCTCATGCTACTCCAGACTTGAGATTTGTTGTTGGCAAATGACATGAATAGCAGTAGTCGTCCTCAACTCAAACGCGTTTGTGCCGCATTATTCTGTAAGCTACTGGTGCGCCCCGAACTCTGTAAACCCTACACACTCTAAACCCAGGGCCCTACTTGAAGGGAGCACACGAACTAATAACCCAAGTATAGCCCTACTTACTAAGTCCCCTGAGCCCTGAAGTAAGCCAAGGAACTGTCTTGAAGAATCATATGATCACTAGCATCTCTTGGGGCCGGTACTCGATGCTTCTCGTGACTTACCTGGCTACCTAGCTGCACAGGGCCGTTCGGCTTCAGGGCTTCGCGTTTTAACGCGGTGGGGCCCTGGGTTCGTCCCCCATAGGCCCCATAGCAGTTCCTTTTTGGGGTTCATGTATAGAATCCTATAAGCTAATCCCAAAAGGAACTACTATATGGGGCCTAAGGGTAGTGACTTAGTGTTTGGGGTCAGTTCTGACCAGGGTCGACAGCTTCTCGGGTTTAGAAGGCTCCGAAATTTGCGCCCGAAAGGGTGGAGCCGAGATTTGTAGCTTCCGTGCCAGCCAAGGCAAGAGCATCTATTGCTTCGGTCTTACTAGTGGCTGGAATTCTCTGGCTGGCGCGGACAACTTCGATTGAGGAGCTGATGCTGAATGCGGTCGCCTTGAACGCCATTTTGGACGTTGACGAGTTCCTGTTTGCCGGCATGACACCCATTAAGATCCAGCATGCTGTGCAGAGCTTGGAACCCATACAGGTCCGGTACAGCCGTCGCCGCAGCCAGTGGGAGACTCTGGTGCATGTGAGCCTGATCCTGATGACAGTGCTTTTGTCATACACACTGTTGCTGGTTCCTTTGTCTAACACCATGCAGACGGTGAAAAATGAGCTCTGCGGTGGCAATCAGACCTTTGTGGTCGCGTACAACCGGGAGACGCAAGAAATCATCGGCTTGAGAACAATGCCGTCAGTTGAAGAAGAGCAAAGCAATCTGTCTGCAATCGAGCTGGCTGTTAGATCTCACATCGGCAACTCACCAGAGACTACTCCTGGTGCGGTTCCGGACTACATCACCTTCTCAGTGAATCGAAGAGTTTTCGGAGCAGACCGCGAGCGTTCCATGCTTGAAAAAGCTAGACAGTTCCCACTTTGCATGCAAACATTGGTGCTCAATGAGGGCGCCCTTTTGCACAACGATCTGGCGCTTCGGCCACTGGTTGACATTCTGTTGAGGCAGGCGGGTCTGGTTCTCGGCCGGGAGATGGTTTCAAGCTGCCAGGAGCTCAGTGACTTCTGCAACCACGCCGATGCGGGCTTGCTGCGTCTCGTTTGTGGCGAGACCTGTGGTTGCACCGATCCGGTCTCGAACCCATGGTACAAAGTCGAGGCACAGGGCTGCAGTACTTCGTGCCTTATTGAGGCGAACTGGGAAGGCAGGGACATCCCTTGCGTGGACAGCGAGGCGAACCGCAGCTGGGATATGTTTTGGAATTCGTATCCGGATGCTGTGTCGGCTTTCTATGGGCAGCCGATACAACAGTCCGTCCTGTGGCCAGATCTGAACAGGACCATGCAAGGAATGTTGTCTCAAGGCTGTTCGTACCTGAGCATCGCTCCGTTTGATTCGCCGACCAGTGCTCATTTCTGTGACTTGGCTGACTTGGCACGGCCATTGCAACTCATAGAATTCTCAGTCCCATACAACGATTACTTTAATTGCTCTCTCCTTAATGCCTTTTGCTTTGTGGTCTAAGAGTCTAGTCCGAACGAAACAGTATTCAAATGCAATCGGAGATTCTTGGAAAAGAATGCCTTAAACTCCTCAATGCGGGCCTCGTCCTTGCTAGGTAGGGGGGAAAAAAGACAGCCCCTTCGATTGATTGCCTGCAAGCACCTCTCTTCCAAAGCAACAGGTCAACGACAAAAAGCAGAACAACAAAGACAACAGCAGCAACAGCGGAGCAAGAGCGAGGGCAAGAGCAGCAGCAACGCCAACAACAAGCCTTAAGTTTTAAAGCAAGTCCAGGCAAGGCGGCAGGCAACGGGAACCCTACTGACCCCGAACCTCAATCCAGAAATGAGGTGAGGGCCTGACGACTTTGTTCAAGCCCTTGACCACGATCTGCCCGGTCACCTGTGGCTGCCAAGCAGACACACCCAAAACCGGCTGCCCTTTCAGCTGCACTGGCCAATTTGATCCCAGCCAGGGCTTGGCCCCACGCTGATGGCCAAAAGAAGCGAAATCGGACTTGCGGTCTACCGATTTTCGAAGCTAAATCCACTACTTCAGTTTTATTCAATTCAGCATACGAAAATCACAGGGAGGTGCTGAAAAACAACGATACTTGTACCTTGTTTGGGGCTGACAGGGGTCTTAATCGCAGGGGTCCTAGCATTCAGTCTCCACCTTTGACTGAATAATAGGAAATGCAAGCACGGTTCTTCGGCTTCGAGGTTACTATACTTCTAGTACAACTATCACACCCCGAAACCAAGGCTCAAGTGTGGTTTAGGGTTTAGGGATGGAGCTTGAGGGGTCGTCGAAGCTCGGAAGTTACGTAGCCGGGATATTTCGTTGTGCTTCAAAGGCGGCTATGTCACTCCTGGCCCTAAAGTCACTCGACACTTAGGGTTTAGGATACGGATATGAAGGGTTAGTTTCTGAACTTTTGGCGACTTTAGAGACCCAGCAAAAATAACGTACATCGACCCACAAGCTGCCCGAGGCAAGTATTGCTTTCGCTCGGGTCTCGATGCTTGTGTGTGTGTGTGCAACTGTAGGTGCAGTTTATTGTTCAAAAAGTCACAAAAATGAAGAGGGTCTTGGGTGTGTCTGTGTGTGTGTGTGTGTGTGTTTATACTTCTGGCCTAAGCCTATGGAGTGCACACTAATTAAGTTGGAAGTCTTGGGGCCAAAGGACGGCGAAATCTCAGGTCTGAGAACCTTCTTATTTCTATTCCCGTCAAGCTCAGGTTACAGCATAAACAGTTTCAAGTGATTCTCTCGATTAAGGCCTTGCCTGGACGATCCGACACCGGCAGCCCTAAACCGAAGCCCAAACCCCAAATTTCGAAACAAAACCTTGCACCCAGACCCAGGAAGAGTCCCTTGTTGCAGCAGACCTTGCCAGCCTTATAGTCCATAACATCCGCCCCCTGACCCCATTAGAAGGGACCCTATTATAGAACCCTACACTAACTACCCCTAAGGGGACCCCATTGCAGAACCCTTTTAGTCCCCACACCTTTTTGTTCGATTTGTTTTTGGGCAGGTCCTCGCCCGTGGCCAGCAGACGATCGAGCGGGCGCCAAGCGGCCTCGGATGGACCGCCTCGGTGGGAGTTCTGGCGCCCTGGAAGAACTCTGCTTTAGGGCCTAAGGTTATTTTGTTGCTTTTGTGCGTTAGTTCTTTCGGGCACAGAGTAAGTCCGAGCCGGAAAGGGGGTATGAAGGGAACCGGGCTGCAGCGATGGCCGAAAGAGGGCTGCGAACACAACGAGGGTTCTACCCACAATTGGAGTACGAAGTTCGGCTTTTAACTGCGGTTTCGGGCTGACGGTTGTGCGTGTCGGGCACGTCTTTGAAGTCGCCTGGCTTTCCGCCCTACTCAACCTTAGCCCTGCAACATGAAACACCGCTGCGGTCCCACTTTGAATCCAGCAACTTCCTGCTTGCAGTGGCCGGGTATCCTAAAGAATAATATGTGGGGGGGTCCTTGTTTAACAATTAGTACTGCAGCCGAGAGGCTCCTTGCCCTGACTTTAACGATATACCTAAACGACAAGAGACATCTAGTGATATACCTGAACCACAATAGACCTCTAACGATATACCTAAACCACAATAGACCTCTAATGATATACCTAAAACACAATAGACCTCTCATGATATACCTAAAACACAATAGGCCTCTAATGATATTCCCAAACCACAATAGACCTCTAATGGTATACCTAAACTACAATACCTAAACTACAATAGACCCTAAGACCCTTCTCTAATCATCGAGGCCCCTTGATGATAAGATACCTGGTTTCTGCTTCTCACGAGGCGTGCGCTTTAGCAGGCCGCCTTGCGCGGCTGGTTTGGGCGAGACGACTCGTCTCATCATCAGGGGATACGGTTTAATAGACTGAAAAAACCAGGGCGTAAAGGGCTGATTAAGGGATTGGCGCATATGGAGCTTGTGGGATTTAGGGCGTTCCCGGCTCTTTGAATTGTAGCTCCCAGAGCAGCTTGGGCCTGAGGTAACTCGAAATGATTCAGTTCCAATTTCGAGCAGCCCACAATTGGCGGAAATTCGTGATCTTCATGTAGAGGCAACGCATATAGGCCCTTTCAGAACAGCGTGCTCGAGTCGACGTGATTCTCTGCTTCAGTTCAGAACTTAGGGTCGGACCTAGTTCGTCTTACTTGTAAACCAGAGCAGCTCACTAGTTTGCAGTCGCCACCAGCCATACAGTACCCCAGGCCTTGTGAGCCCAGCAGACCAACAGCAACGCATTTATGAGTTCCTGCCAGGCACATGTAGAACGGACTGTTGCCTGAGAGTCGACTCACTATTTCTTGTCGGGCCTGGTTTAGGGTTTAGGGTTTAGCGCCACGAGTGCGATGTGCTTGGGGATTCTGGCCGGGCGAGCACTAATCAAGCCTGTGGAAAAAAAAGGGTTTATGGCTGATCCTGATGGGTTGCCTGGAGCAGGCTTGGCTCTTCGAAGCAAGCGCAGCAGTGGCCCACGTGTCCAGGTGCGTGAGAGCCGTGGGCGAAAGGGAAACACTGGTTGAGGTTGTATTTCCGGGGTTTGGATTTGACTGGTCCCTGACCATCAGCTGGTTGTTGAGCAGACTTGACGGATGTGTTGCATCTAAGTCCTTTTAGCTCCAGTGGCCCGTCTTACTATTTGGGACTTTCCGAAAATTAGGGTTACCTTATTTTGGTGTCCTTATAAAAAAGAGCCTACTATTTGGGGTGCTATATTAGGGTCCCCTACTTTCGGAAACTCCCATTTGCTTTCGGATTTGTGGCTTTAGGGCTTTAGTATTGCCTTATGTTTCCAACGAGAGCCACCGTCTGCCGTAGCACGTTCTGTGTCCATCCATGATAAGATCAGGAATGGCAACAGGTGACATGTACAAGAAGTGTATGTCATTACCCGGTACCCGCACCCTCTACCGCGACGTTGCTGCAGGACATGCGTGCCTCTTCGATCGTGTGTCTCAGAAGGTCTTTGGACTGGTTGCGGTTGAAACAACGGGAGACCAGCCGTACTTGATCAACGCGGCTTCTCCACGACCTTTAGAATCTTTAGAAAGTATCACCAACAACGATTCGGTGTTCGGGAGGCCTTGGCAAATTCTGCCCTCGACTTGACGCCCGTGCCGGAGGAGTTGGAGGCTTCCGCCAAGGTAAAGTTCACAGTTAAAACCTTACTACTACGTACCACTACGACGACGACGACTACTACTACTACTGCTGCCACCACTGTCACGACCACTACGACTACCACTGCCACATACCACCACTACAACCATTACCACATGTTACCACCACTACCACCACTGCCACCACTGCCACCACCACCACCACCACCACCACCACCACCACCACCACTACCACCTCCGCTACTACCACTACCATCACCGCTACTACCCCTACTCCTGTTGCGAATCCTGCTCCAGCTGCTGCTACGGCTACTACTCGCAGCCTGAGCTCTCATTCGTGCTCTCCGCAAGGATCCGAGGCATTTGATGCGGTCTGGAAGTGTCTTTTCGATGTGTTTTCGTGCGGGATCGGTTCGTCTACGATATCCCTAAATGCGAGTTTCCGAAATTAGGGGCCCCTAATGTAGCACCCTAAATAGTAGGATTCCTATTATAAGGACCCTAAAATAAGGTACCCCTAATTTTCCGAAACTCCCAAATTGAGAGTAGCCTCCATGTCCGGAGCCAGAGACGACAATCCAGCAAAACGAAAGGCGCCAGAGCAGCCGTCCGAAATCGAGGTCGTCGATGCCAGCCCGGTTGCAGCTTGAGTTTGGGCGAGGAAAGGGCGAGGATGGATTTTCTTATTTTGGACAGAGCAAGAGTTTTGTTTTTAGCTACTGTCATTCACGCGCACAAAAAAAACTTAGCGGCACCGTCCCGTTTTGCTCGCCTTTCGTGAACCTTTGGGCTGCTAGCACGTCGGTTTTTGTTGGTTGTCCGTTTCAGCGATGTAGGATTGTTGTTAGAGTTCTTGACGAGCAGCGGTCTAGTTAGAAATACGACTTGGCCTGGAGGCCCGCAAAATTATGACATCACAGAAGAACACTTCGTCCAGCCAAGCTCAGCTCATGAACATGTGTCTGACAGCCCAAACCCGTGGCTCTTGGTTTGATTGTTTTTTTTTTTTATAAGTTTGTTCGTGTGTGTACTCATGTATTCATACATGTGTATATAACATCCAGTATATATGCAAGTGTATATGTACATATATAGACAGAGACTTATATGTACATACAGCTGTATATCTAGATACATCGCGGTATGTCTCTCTTTGCATCTCTCTCTCTCTCTCTCTCTCTCTCTCTCTCTCTCGTTCATGGATTCTTTTCTTGATTGGTTCCCGGATGGATTGTCGCCAAAGTCAGTTCTGCTTCAGTGGTATTGGGCTTTCTGAGAAGGTGCCACGGAGCTAAAAGCTGCAATGTGCAATACACGTGTACTGGTATACCGCTACACCACTATATAGTGACCTACCATTATAACACTATCACTGACTATCACTGCAAAGCGACAGCATTGTTTTACGACAGTTATGATTACGTTATTCACACTATCTGTTATGTAAGACTTGATCGTACCCTGACCAGATCCTGTTGCGAGTTTGAGGTCGCGCCCTCTCGCGCGCAGCTGGTGTGACTGGGTCTTTTTTGTTGGGCTTGGTTTGGGCTTAAGACTGCGCCTAGGCCAGGCTCGGCAATGGATGTTTTGCACAGAGTTGCTGGAGCTCGAATCTCCCGTGAGTACAGTTGAAACTGCGAAGCCCTTGCGGTGTAGAGGGTTGGACTTTATAGATTTTTCTCGAAGGCTGTAGGTTAGAGAGATACAGGCCCTCTATAGGCTGAGTCAAAGTCCTCTGTCAAATCGTCAAGTCTCCACACTAACCCTTTCAAGACAAGGGTCGTGATATTTAGCAACATTATGCCTTAGAGTTCCTTTCTTACAGTATACCCCAAAGCCCTACTCCTAAGTATTACGGCTGTATCATAGACCCTTTCAACTGCTGAGCATGGGCCCGAAATTGAGCCCGAAATAATCACAAGGAAGCCGTCCCAACCCCTTACTGCAGGACTACAGCCACTCACAAATAAGCCCCTAGGCCCCAGGAGGCATACAAAGGTGAAACCCCTGACGCACAACATTGGGGGCAAAATAACTGGATCAGGATGTCTGGTTGTGATACTTTAGTAACCGTAAGCCCTAAACCCCTAAACCCTAAACCTTAAGGATTAATATGGGTACTACAAAATCAGCTTCTTTTTGAGGCGAGGAACCGCTGCCGGGCTGGCTTTGGCCAATTTGGGCGCGGCAGAGGCGGTGGCTGGACGGCACTTGGGGTTCTGGGGATTTCTTACAGCCTCCTGGGACTTAGGAAGTAGGGCTAAAAGTACGATTCAAATTAGGATAGCTCACTTGCTTTCTTAAAGGCCCCTGGGACGTAGTAGGTAAGGTTGTAAATAGGACAGCTCACCTGGGCTCTGGGGCTTTCGTAAAGGTTCGTGGGACTTAGTAAGTAAGGTTATAGTTAGGACTGCTCACTTGGGTTCTGGGGCTGTCGGGTGTTAAACCCTGCAAACCCCAATGATACTACTAGTCCCTGTCAAGTTTCAACGGGCCGACCCATAGACATAGGCCTCGCTTGGATTCTTTGATTTGTGAGCGGATGTTTCGGGTCGGATGGCGCGTGTCAGGGTCCTCAAGCCTGAAGGCTTCGAAGTGCGGGGTGTTACTCAGAAGCATGGATAATTCAATAGCGCTCCTTTAGGTTCCTCATACTCGTCGTAACGCTTTCTGGGTTCCAAGTAGTAAGGCCCCTATACTACAAACTTCAGAGCAAGGTGCATAGGTTTGTGCACGCTTTGCCATGTTTTCGGCAGTATGGTCAATGCCGGGCAACCCGGAGCAACGCCTACACGGCGTCGCCTGGGGCCTAAGAATTGCCACGCGGGCAATCCCCATCACAAAGACGCTTCCTGGAAACAAAGCCAGAGAGAGAGAGGTCCTACATCCCGTTCGGACAGGCTCACGGCAAACACTCCCTGACAAGCGAACCCACCCTGTAAGCATGTGCCCTGTGTTGTTATCCTGCTGTGGAACTGATGGTCGGGGAGCAAAGGAAGCCTGACCATAGATTCGGATTCGCGTGTCTTAAAAGCGATGGTTCAAGGCCGAAAGAACATCAAGATAATACTAGCACTGTCCGCTACTTCGGTCGGATTCAATTGTTCACACCCCTCTAAACAGCCCGTAAAAGGCGGGCGAACCTTAGTGCCCTGGGGGCTTAACTCGCCCCTTAAGCCTGGGAGAGGAAGAGAGAGAGAGAGAGAGAGAGACTTCTGGCTGCGTGCAAGCAAGAGAGAGAGAGAGAGAGAGAGAGAGAGAGAGAGAAAAAACAAAAAAGGCCGAAGGTGGAGAGAGACAGACAGTACTACATCGTTAGCTTGGCCGGGGCCTCAGTGGTGTGTGGTCTCCTGCGCCGGAAGACAGAGAAAGATAAAGAGCAGGAAGTGCATATGGTTACCTTCGTGCGGCAACTGCTAGGCTAGAAGATATTCTTTCTTGCTTGACCAACCTCGTCCCTGCTCTTGTCGTCATCGGCATCATCTTTTTCAGCCCCTATACATGCCTTGCGCGGTAATGTTCGAGCTGTGCACATCTCGTCTGAGGCAGTGGCTCCGGAGTGGGTGCAGTACGACCTGAACACCGGCGAGACGTCGCTCAGATCCGCTCTAACAGTTTCAATGCCACGGCGTAAACCTGCGCAGCAAATCTGGATTTGTGGACGTCGGGGGTGTTTGCCAGCTTCAACCAAGACAAAGTTGCAAAAACCTGCAGTGCGCACATCCAGGTGGTTACAGTTTCAAGCATTAAGGCTTTATGACGTGGACTTCGACGAGAACGACCCGAACCACGGAACCTTCGCTTGAGTTTAGCTGCCTTTTGCAATGCAAGTTTATCACGGAGGGGTCCGATCATCGGTACGCGGTGTGCAGTGTATGCCGGCTCACATGAGCATGGCAGTCTAGGGGATTCTATATCGCCACAATGAGAAGCAAACCAAAGCTGCCCTACAAACCAAGGCTCCCAACTGGCTGCATAACGCTTGAATCCACCAAAACTCTCTGCAGGTGATTCCAACCTTTGATGCTTCCTGCATCGCGCGCACATGCAAGTAAACCAACATTACGAGACCGGAACCTTGCTTTGGGGTTTGTGCATTTGTTTTCGGCCAGAAAGATGCAAGAGATCGTTCATAGCTCTGTTCGGAGCATTACACCTAGACCCTCAACCTGATCTCCAAGAAGTAGATAACCATGCACAAAGCTCTTAGGATTACCCTAAACCTTAACCCCACACAACAAACCTTTAAACCCTGAGTCCCCTACAACACTATAGACTATAGACCTCTATCCCCTGAACCCTAAGCCCTTTACACCTAAACCCTAAATTGCTTAAATCCCCTAAACCCTAAGCCCTTAATGAAGCCCTGAGGATTCATCGTGGGGGCCCGTGCTCTCTTCTACGAGACAAGGGATGGCGGCACCTGGTCAGCATGTGGGAGGTATAGTGAACCCCAGAAAGTTGGAACATGGATTGAGGACGATTTGTTCTGGGATTTCCTATATTTTTGACTGAAGGGCATGCGGATTATGATGTTCCAACTTTCTGGCTTCTACTGCATAGGGCTTAGGCTTTGGATACCGTGATTGAAACAGCAGTTGCAAGGAGGGACCTCAGTTCGGCTATCTCTGTCATAAAGGCAGGTGTGGCACTGAAATGCCTTTGAATTCCGAACCTCCCATCGAAGATTCCAGAGTTTAGGGATGCTTGATACATTGCAAGTGCTGTTGAGTTCAGGCCAGGCTGTGATCCAGGTTGTTTGACCTGGAATGGAAGGTGCTGCCGCATTGTCACATTAGTCTAGTCCTCCTTTTCCAGCTTGAGCTGAAAACCAGAGTTAACCGAAATTTTACCCTGGCCCTAAACCCTGAAGCCGTGATGACTTCGTTGCAACTTCTGAGTACGTGCCTCAAGGACAGCGATGGGTCTCGCGCTCCTTCGCCAACCTGGGCAAAGGCACGAGACTGACAGTCTGTGAAGCAAGCGTTTCCAGTGCACGCCCTGTTCACGGCAAAGTTGCCCGACCTGGATAAAGCGCAGCAATAAGGACACATACACCTTAGCAGTTACCTGAGATGGCCATGCGATCAGCTTGCTACTGCCTTGCGCACTCGCGGCTTAAAACCAAGACTGTCCACTCCAATTGATTTGGGATTGCTTGGTCTCAAACCTTTCTGTGTTGTGCTGCCATCCTTGGGGAGTGCCCAAGAAACAGAGTTGCTTCTACTTAAGGGCGCAGGACGGGAAGATGCGCTGCTGCTTTGAACCAACCAATCTATAAACAAATATCGTCGGTGCATAAACCTGCATTGTTGTCTAGGATGCCATCTCACTGTGCTCCATCTTAAATCCAGACCAGGAGCCCATGCACCCTTCAAGGGAACCTTGCCTGCCCAACACCGCCACGCTGGGTTCAGGTGAAGACATCAGCTACCGCTTTCAGTCCCTTGGCTGCGTTCAAGGTTGCTGAGGAGTTTGCTTGCAGATGTAGGTGTAATTGGGAGCGTAGTAGGATTGAAGGTATGGGGTGTTGATTCACAGGGTTGGCTTCCGATGTGTTATCAAGGGTAATAGTAAGCTTTGAGAGGACAATGCTTGTACTTACCTTGTCGTATGCGGCAGGAAATATGTCGGGCTTGCACGGCACGGCTTCTTCAAAACTTGCTACACCATCGGGTGTGCTGACGGGCGTGGTAACTTCCGATTACAAAGCTTTTCGCAGGAGTTGCGGATTTCACGTGGGTTCGCGCTGTTGTCAAGCAAGGAATTTTAAGGCAGTCGGCTCCTGTGCTCAAGCATCGAGGACTGCTGTCAGCTGCGATGCTACCGGCCCCGAGCCCACAAGCGATCTTCACGGAGATGCCTCTTGCACCCCTCCTCCCGCCACAACTACACGGTCTAATAACGTAATTCTTGCCCCGAATGATCTTTAATGACCCACTTATGATTATGAATTAGATGATTCTGAAACTGTGGTCATGTTGGTTGGAGCTGTGAAACTCGGCTTCCGATCAACAGGTCTGACGCTTCGAGCCCCTTTGACAGAGAGAGTGATCACGTGGACTTTAACACAAAACCCTAAATCCTAAACCTTGACTTAGCAGTTCGATCTGAGGACTGTTTCGCTCAATGGCGACGAAGTGTGGATTGTCGGCAAGCCACCCCTTCTGCTCCACTCCAAAGACAGCTCCCTGCATGAACTGGAGCATCGGGTGGAGCAGAACCGTCCTAATTGCTGTGACGATTCTGACGGTGATTTTGGAGGTGGTGAGATGACGGTGATGTTCTCGATAATGCCTGTACTTAAGATTGCAGGTTATGCCCATGGTTCTTGCTGTATGTGTGCGTGCGTGCGTGCTGCTGTAGATTAGAAATGTGCCCACAAGCACTGCCACCATTTCATGAAGCTGAAAACAGGACTCTGAAAGATTCGAGGCTCCCAGCTTGCAAAAACACCCAGAAGATGCAACATTTTTACCCTAACATTCAAGGTTGTCGCTGCGGGTTCATGGGTTTCGAAGTTTCAGTGCTTGGAAGTAGGACAAGCCTTGGGAGAAGAACACTGAGAAATGCGATGAAACCGGCTGCTTTATCGACACATCAATACCGTACTCGCAGTCAGCACCACTACGACTACGACCTACGACGAGCATCGCCATATCGCCACTCCCCTAATGACCATAACTGGCCATCACCGCCAGCACGAGATTGGAAGCCGTCACAGCCTCCTCCTTCCCTTCCATGCAGCTCCGTCTATTTCAAGCGGGCCAGCTTGTCCCCCTGAGCTAGCGCTAGCCTTGCCGAGGCAAGTTTCGGAATCTTTCCTTCCCATCCACAAGCTCATAAAACTCCAAACCCCTCTCTGCAGACACCAAAAGGCCCTCAGAAAAAAAAAAACACAAAACAAGGCCCACTCTGCAAGTCGCCCAGGCGGCAAGAGCTGGAAGAAGGTGCCCATCTCAAAGAAGCTCCCTGGCGAGCCAAAGGCGCCTCGGGGGCCTTCGTAAACAATGACACAGCACAGAAATGTCCAGTAGTATTCCTACTATTTAGGGTACTCTATATTAGGGTCCTCTAATTTTCGGAAACTCCCATATAGTAGAATGTAGGTTTTCTTTAGTATTCTTACCATGAATCCCTTTGAGGTTTATATAGTGTCGGTGTTCGCAGTGCAAGAGCACAAACCCTTTTCAAGTGAGATTCTCGCAGGTCATCGTTGCCCTGGGACCGGGCAAAGCAGAGATGGCAACCTCCAGTGGAGCTATTTATGCATCTCAACGAAATAGCAGGCTTTTGTGGGCACCCTGTTGGGGTCGCGGGTCTGGGGCCTCATTTGAGGATTTTGGGGCTGCGGGTAATGTTGTAACAAGTTAATTTGGGAGACCTAGTTCAGAACCGGTAACGAGAGCGCACACGTGCATGGGGGATTACCGTAAACCCTTAACCCTAAATCGAGTTTAGGGTGTAGACAGACCTTGGACACCCAGGCTTGAAGCTCCACATGAGCCAGGGCTAATAATCAAGACGTCCAGAGATACACCAGCAACTCAAAACAAAATCCAGCACCCCACAATCGTTTGAAGTGTCGGAACGGCTTTAATGTTCGCAGTTTTTCGTGAGGTGACCGAGAACGATGGCAAGAATTGGAAGTCGCAAGTGTCTGTGCCTAGGCCAACTTCAGATATTCGGTTCCGGTTTCCAGGCTCGGGTTTAGGGCCAGCGGCGGTGTTCTAGGTATACTACCATATGTGAAAAGACATACGTACATATGGCTGGATGTGTATACGAATATACGACTATATGTATATATGAACAGATGTATATATGTGTATGTCTATATGTGTATATGTATACATGTAGCGATGTATGCCTCTAATTAATAGCCATAGCATATATGATAATATATGTGTACATGCATACTATATGCATATGGTGTTCTTCAGTACGGGCGGCGGAGTAAATTTGACCGACTTCATGCTTCGGGGGCCATGAGGACTGGGACCGGATTGAAGCACGATGACAGCACGAGGTGTACCGACATCGGTTCCGACACATTCCGACATAAAGAGCTAGCAGCTCTGCTCCCAAAAGCCACCAGTTGCAATAGAACGCAGATCCGCTTCCGACTCCCCATGCTGGCAAAGCCGCGCCTCCAGTTCTCCGAAAGTTTCAACTCCACAGCGCCCCACGTGGAGTTTCACGGAATAGCGGTGCAGTATTTGGAGCTTACAGGGCTTTCGCTGGTGTTTGTTGGTTTTTCGGCCTCATAACGTATAAGTTGCTGGGAGTTGACGACGTTGAAGCTGTTGGCAGGAAGAATGTAACGCAGTGAAGTTGTTGTTGTTGTTGCAAGGAGACCATCGACGCAACCCTGAACCGCGTCTCCCAGAGCGGTGTTTCCGGTGGAAGCTACTTCACCGGCAGTGCCCCCTTCTCAGCATGAGTGTATCTGTGTGGGCATTGTTCTTCGGCTTTGCTCGATGTGCAAAGGGTGATGCGAAGGCCAGGAAAGAGTAACGCCCCTTTCGGATCCTTAAGGGAATGACCTTGCCCACAACCGTCTAAAGGTCATCTGAACTCGTGTCAGTGCCGTTACTGTTTTAGTTATTCGTTCTGGTACCAAAAGATTGAACCGAACCGTTCACATCCTCGTGGTGGGGATTTTGACTTAAGAGGCAGAGTGAGCTGTTGCGAGGCGGTCCAGCATGGTGCTGTGAATTCGACGGACAAACAACCCCATCCCCGACCTGAACCCCACGGCCTTTCCTATTCTTTGCTATTTTGGGGTTCCTTATTATAATTATAGTAGTAGAACATACCCCAACATCCTGTTTTAAATATTAAGGCACCTATGTTACACCCTACAACCCCGGGTGACCCCAGATCGCCCGAGGGCCGGGCTTTGACCTGAAAGGTTTCAGCAATCATAGGGGCCTTAATGATTAGAATAGGGTTCCTTTATAGGGGTCTATAAGGGGCTACTATACGGGATCCATAGTAGGGTTCTGTAATATGGGGCCTGAATAATTCGAATAGGGTTTCGGGGTACATATTATACTATAGTTATAATGAGGCAGCGCCGAAAGAATAGTATAGGTAATTATTGAGGCCCCTATAGCATCAGAGCCATCACCTCGAGCTTTTCATTCTGTGTGTCACGCACCACGACTCGCCAGAAGAGAAGCCATCCTCCTGAGTTAGGAACAGACTCCGACATGCGAGCGAGATGCCTCACGTCCGATTATACCCGATTATCTACCTCACTGCTGAACCTGAGTTCCGCAAGGTCAAGTCCATCAAGCGAAACTCCAAGGGCGAGTACCTGGCCATTGCACAGCGCTTCGGCATGGTATAATTTGCTGGGGCACAAGGAAAGTAGACACTATTCACTGTTCACGGAGATACCAAGACAAGCACAAAAGATTACTAATCCTTTCTCTAGAATCTCTAGAAGAGCGACACGACCAACTCAGGCGCGGAAACTTCTACTTGAGCTTCGTTCCTGGAGACACCCGTGGCCTGGCTGTGCAATCCTCCTGTGAGCTCCGATTTCTCCCCTAAGAATGTGCTTCGTGCAATCAGCTACAACCATGCCAGGATGCTGCACGGTTGTGGAACACTGCTTGTTTCGCCCAGACCCGAAGCAGACATTGGACCAAACTGGTTAAACTGTTGGAAGTCTCCTGGCCTGGTAGCTGAGACCTTGCCCGTATTCTTACGGAACCCACGGCAGAACTTTCTTTTTCTATAGAAAGTTGGAGCCTGTTTGGGCCAGGTTATAGCCGCTCCAGGGCCCTTGAAACCTTGAGCAGAAGCTCCTGCAGATGTAGAGTCTGCATGCCATGATGTGGTATCTTCAGGATTTCCGCTTTCACCCCTGCAGAGAACATTTACCGTCACTAACCAGTACAGTGCAGTATACATGTATAGACTATAAAACAGACCAGCCCCTTTCATCAGGCTGGGTGCCGCACAATCGTATCTCTGCCAGACGTATCCAGGCGGGATCGCGAGGGATGGTGGCTTTTTGTCTTGAAGGCTTGACTTTCCTAATGAGTATTCTTAGTTTTAGGATTAATATGATGATTATTACCATGATTATCGTTACTGTGCGTGTTGTTCCTGGCACCGCGAACGAGTACAACACTCCGAGATGGGGTTCAGGGCTGAGGAATGCTGAGGACCTGTCCGAGCCCAAAAAGCTCCGACGTAGCATGGTTGGCTTGTCGGCCTTTCGGCCGGCCTGGGCGTGTAGCATTCAGATATAGTTCCTTGCTTGCCAGGGCATGGGCTTCAGAGAGACTGCCAACGGCGAGCAGTTGGACGGCGCTTGGATGAGCCTGAACGGCTGCCCAGCTGCATCGGAGTGAGTTGAAGAAGAATTGGAGACCCTGCTTGGCCAGGAAGGTGGAACGACATGTCATGTCAGACTGTTGAGATTGGAGCCTGAAGTAGGTTGGAGCTGAAACCGAAGAAAGTATTCTGCTACATGTACACCCCTCCACAACGGCCGAGAACAAACCTAAGCTGGACATCCTGAGCCGTCACACCGTCAATCCCAAGACTGTGTGCAGCCAGCCTCACTTGCTTGTGCGATCTCGGACACCCGAATGCTTGTCAAGTTCTCACTCCTCGACCTTGCCGAAGGTGCCATGCTACGCTATCACCAAGCAACTCCCCCCTCATGGCGTTTCTAGATGGGAGCATCTAGGAAACCGCATGGCAACAGGAAGGCACAGATGATCAAAGAGTCCTTGACAGATTCAATTACAAGTAGCAGGTGGTGTGGTCACGGTCTGCGACAAGAACACGTTCACGGATCTAGCCTCCGACACGAAGGCCGGGTAATGCCCAGCGGAACAAGGCAGCTTTATACCAAGATACCAAGGCTGACAGCTTCAACTGGTCTCTCATCTTATGTAGTACGATATCTCAGAACAGAATATACTACAAAATGCTGTAGTAGACTTCAGTGGTCATATTAAATTAAAGCAATTAAGCCTTGCAAGACCCAACCAGAAGACTTGAGAAGGGGCCTAGCATGCCTCAGAACTTTCCGCTGGACGCCTTCCACCCACACCCCAACTGAGTTCAACGGATGTCAAGCAGTTTTTTGTTAATCTAAGAGTCGACTAGTTAGTAACTACCTGAAATAATGGAGCCGTACCGTGAGATTTGAGATTGTTGCGTTCTTACTCCTCTCCCGCCCACCAATTCTTGGCAGGAGCTGTTCCAGCTCGCAAAGATCCGCTCAGGCAGGGCTCCCAGAAGTAATCAGGTCTTGAGTTGTTGTGAGGCCAACTTATAGAGGAAGGCTCTTTGTGTGGACGGCAGCTTCAATCATGTGCGGATGCTGAGCTTGCAGTCAAGTAATGATTTCGTGTGTGACGCAATTTAGAGTTTCGAGGTGAAGTGTGGTGCTGTATGCTTGCTGGGGACGTCCTAAAGTCTGCTAGTTGCGAAAACTGGACTAAAACGTCAGTGAGTCAAATTATTGCGAGAGTGCTTCAAGTAAGCAGGCACGCTCAGCAAGTTTGGGCTCCAACAGACCTTGGCTGCCGCATGCCTAGGGTCCTGAACCCCGGAGCATGACGGTTTTGGATGTGCACGGTCTTTGGCATGAGGAGGTTCAAAGGCTTTCAAGACCTTACGGGAGGACCTTCAGACCTATAGGCCAAGCTCAACAGGTGGTATTGGCATCATCGATGTTGGATACCGCACGCCGAACGAGTGTTGGGCAACAGGAGGCAGCGGCGTGCAACTCGACTGCTTTTTGAAAATTGGGCACGGAGGATTCGTGGTTTCACGCTCGGGGCTGGCTAATATTGGGGTCTTAATAGTTACCTATATTGGGTTCCGTATGGTTACTATAGTATAATAAAATAACTCTAAAACCCTATTCTATTTATTAAATCCGCTATATTCTGAGGGCTCAAGACTCCCAGTCCAACCTTCCAGCTGAAATGCAAAAGCTGCATCCCGAACTGCCCTTATACCTCTGAACTTGTTTAAACCTCCACAGCGGCCACACCCATGAGCCCCAAATGCAATGTTAGTGTAGAGGTCGGAAAACAGTATTAAGCATTACTGTAGTAGGCCCTTTAAATGCCGAAATACTTCAACAATTTATCCGTCATCCCTCCACAGATTACGGCGGGTGCCTGTGCGGTCCCTGTCCACACGGAAGGGCGTAAATGAGCCTCACCATGCAAGCTTCGCAAAGCTATACTAGCTTAAGCTGTAGTCTTCAACACAACAATCAGCCCGTGGTAAAGACCCCGAAAAGTAAAGCCCTGCTTACAAAGACCCCCCCTCCATACGGAACCCTTACGTTTGAGCCACCACCCCCACTTTCCTACTCCTTTTGCCCTAGGATCTACACCTCCAAGGATGGCGGCAGCTTGGCTTAGTCGGGCTGCGGGCGTGTAGCATAGGGGCCTAAGAAATTACCAATACTATTATGGGGGGTGTTCCTTATAAGTATAGCACAATGGGCCCCAGAACCCTATTCTAATTATTGAGGCCCCTATAGTAGTCCGAACCGTTACATACTGCTGATGGACAAAATCCTGCATTACCCACTATAAGGAACATACCATAGTTCCCATAGTTTAGAGTCCTGAGGGTCATGCAGGATTTTGTCCATCAACAGTATCGGTCTTTAGTCCTGGACGTAGAGTCGGTACACAATGAGGATCCCTTATAGATCCCTTAAAGGACCCCTTAAAGATCCAAAATAGATCCCCTACAGGACCCCTAAAAGATCCATCGTAGATCCCTTACAAGCTTTCGAAGCGGAAGATTCAGCAGGAAAGGGCCTATCTATCAACATGAACTAATTTGATTCCATGGCTTCCCGCCACCCCGCAGATCACTAGTCACTAGTAGTTCCCGTACAGAACTGGGCTTTTGCGACAAGTTGAGGAAAGACCTGGGCATTCGATCCCTCCGCCACGGACCTTCCGTGCAATTTGTACAACGCCGCTGGCATCAAACAGTGTTTCAAAGCAGACGGGCTTAGGGTTTATATAGAGTTTTAAGGAGGCACTTCAGAGAGACCTCGTTCAAACAAGAAGTTGGAGTTTTGGATTGGGTTTAACCCGGGGTTCAGCTGTTTTTTTTTCTGGGGTGGAGCTGTGAGGGCCAGGAGGCTGAAGGCAGGAACGCGCTTCCGGGGCTGCTTAAGGACGAAAAGAACTCTAAAAGTGTTTAGGGTTCATACTATAATTGTACAGACCCCCCTTCCTTTACGGGGCATTTGGTCCTTAAGATCCTTAAGGTTACTTGTGTAATCAAGTGCGATACGATGACCGTTTGGTGTTCTTGGCGATGCTGCCATAATATGGAAACGTAAATAATGAGGACTTGCATTCCGCAAAGGTCCCGATCATACCCAAAACCTTATTCAGTTGTTTCTAGTTATCAAATCCCCAACATGTCATTTGCGCGCCCTGAGCAGAGTCGACCGCAATGTTTGACAAACCTCGCCTGCCATGGATGCTGTTACAGTCGAACTCGTTCAAGTCTTTTCGAAGCGCAAAGGCTGTACCTTCAAGAACACAGATAGTTTCAACATGTGGCCGAGGTGAAGTTCTTCCAGAAGGGAAAGGCCCGGTACGCGCCCCGCGCCCCTAAGTCACCAGATCGTCTGAGGTCAAGTTGGATATTTCGGGAGCCAGGGCTTAAAACGCATTGTCTTAGGCGTACTTAGAAATATTTTTTAATTTTTGGTTATTATAATCCCTAAGAAACAGCTACATTTATAATTTTTGCTAGGGTTCTAAGTTCAGTATAGTTGTAGGGTTTGAGGAACATCGGACTGACCCGCCTAAGCCCTAGCCTCCATCCAGTCGTGAAGACAATTCCAACCTTGTGTAGTGACCCGTAGCGACCCCCAGTGCAACCTTAGACAACCTGCTTTACTTGGGGTTCAGACCTTTGTTCAGTGTTTCAGGCTTGGGGGGTTGATCAACCAGCAGGGCCTCCGCTCAGTTCGTGTTGTGGTGAACTCGACCGTCGTTTCCTCCAGCCTTAGTTTCCTTGGGTATCGCTCGATGCTACAGGTCAAGTTATATTCATTCATTCGTTTTGTAGTGCAATGCTGATGTTCGCTCCTGCTTGCACTTGTCGCCGCTAAGTCGTGCGCAGCAAGCCAGTAACTAGCATAGAAAAGTGCAGCTGAGTCACCCTCTCTGACCACTTGGTTTGTGTCTACATTCCTTAGATGCTCCCTGAGGCATGTACTGAAGCAGGTTATGGCTCCTGTATCGACGCAGACGAACGGAATGTGTAAATTAGAGGGACATTGCTGACCACGGTGAGAAACCTGAGGTGCCCCTTCGTTTTGTGTGTAGGTGGGCTACATGGTGGGCTCTGCCGGGATTCTCTTGCGCCGCACCTTCGCTGCATGAGAGGAGGTGACGCGGCTGAGACATAGAGAAACAGAGTCAGCTGCTGGCAGAGGTGGAAATGTTGTTTCTTTGAAACTAAACTCTTAAGTAGTTGAGCAGCATTCCCGCACCACCCTGCAACTGGTGTAACAAAAACGTCAGCCACACACACACATCAAGACAACTCGACTTAATTACATCGCTGTCATTTCGGCACCTGATCAGCGCAGCTGTTGACCCTTCTGGGTTCTCGTTCAGGAATGTAGTTGTAAGTGAGTATTGTAAGGAAATCATATTATGCACGATAGATTATATGATGACCCTTCTGCCGGGCAGCCAGACTCTGAGCATGATCGGCAGGGCTGGAGGACGTTGTTCGGCAAAAGATTTCAGTCCTATTGCTGTATGAACTGGCTGTTTCTTTATTTTCGGAGAATATTGTTTCACTGCTGGCACCACAGAGGAAGGTTTGTTGACAGAAGCCATTTCCCGAGAGAGTCCTCCATCCCGTGTGACTCGCCAGACGAAACAGAAGCACGCTTTGTTATGCTCTGTGTACCGCAGCCCTGAGCCACCACTGGCTCTACAACTCCAGGATACATTTAACTAAACCTTTGCTCCGCAGGCCTTTGTCCCGGGGCAGCTTCTGTGTCGGGGCTGCGACACTTCATGCCTTGCAGGAGCATATATGCAGAGCAAAGCTTGGATATAGCTGGCAGGAAGGCGGCCTGCTGAACCTGCAGATTACCTCAGCTTCAAATCCCCAGAACCGAGGACACATGAGAACGTTGTAGGTTTGAACGCCCGGCTTTTAGCATTGAATGCCGACTTGAATCTTGTCTTGGCGAAACGCATCAAGTTGGATCCTACACTCCAAGCTCCGAACCCCTGAAATGCAGGGTGTCAGAGATCACCTCCCTGCAGCCACCCACTCCTACCGTCTCAGAAGAGGTGGAGCAAGCAGACACCAGAACTCCACCTAAAGGGCTGACATCTCATGTGTAAGCTGTCTCGTTCGTCGTAGGCTCCACCTTTCTGCCACTGTTGCCGGGAGATCAGAGTTGAAAGCTTTCTTGTCCAGAGTCGGTTTTGGGTTAGGGTTTAGGGTGGTTTGAATCTACAGTAAACAGTCTAGAGCCGCGGAGTTGTGGTGTGGTATATGCAGACAGGCCAGAATCCTGATTTTCTTCGCAAGTTTAGTCTCGAAAACGTGTTTCTCCACCAAGTATATTGAAGACTCTACTGTGTCTGTGTCATCGTTCATGTTACTGAATGATGCAACGATATCCGGGAAGGACCGAACTTGACACGACGTCTTCAAGCAGGTCCTGAAAGGTTTATCAAGCAGGATGCTTTCGAACGGCCGTAAAGCATCGCATATACTTGTATTAGCAAGCTTCGTGGCCCGTCATTATGGGAGAAATCTGAACTGTAGGCAAAAAGGAACGTCGTGAAGGCGCGATACCGTTTCGCTACGTTCTACCCTAACCCCGAATCCCCTCCCCGGCTTTCGAGGATCTAAGGGCTTCGTTCAAAAGCCTGGTCGAAACTGAGCTTCCGGCAGTTGGGCACCTCTTTCCATACATTTTTCTCCTCGCAAGAATGCCTACAGCCACGGGCACGGCAGACTTGCAGCATATCCTTTGACTGCTTGGAAGTGTTGAGGCTTTGGGCTTCGAGTATCCAGGACCCGCTCCCGACAGAGATCCTCCGTCATTCGAACTAAGAGCTTCCTATCGTTGGACCGCTGCCGTATGACATGTTTGCGACCCAAGCGAAAGTACACATAGCGAGAAGTATGCATTCGTGCGATGTGCCGAAGAAGAAAAAGCGGGACTGCACATACCGGTATGGAGTTCTTCCGGAGACTGTTTTCCCAGCGAGTCGAATACGTCGTAATTCAGATTCAGGAACAGTCAAACTATAGAAATGAACTGGACACTGCTGAGATGTTGGGTATACTCCTCAACTAGAAGAGGGGTACTGGGGTTTCTCCATATATACATATATATATATATATATGTACATATACATATACATATACATATACATATCCATATCCATATACATATACATATACATATACATACACACGTATACACACAGCAGCACAGCCTAATCCACAGCTATAACGTTACGTGAAGCATCTCGTCTGAGATTGGATCCACATGAAGTATTCATCTGCACTGCAACTACATCCAAAACCTCCGCCTGACAGGACGCCGCTTTAGTCTGGAGCTCAGGTCCCCGCCGCTTCGCGCACTTCGCAGACAGAGAAAACTCTGACTGCTCTAGTTAAAATACGGAGCCCCAAAATAGTATGGGTAACTATCAAAGCCCCTATACCCAGACCCCCGGGAGGATCCAAGAAGTAGATCCCTTGTAATTTCTCACCCCATGTGGCTGGGGCCCACTCCATGTTCGAACTCTTCACTCGAGCCAAGAACTTCCCAAGCGAGGATAGGGTCAAGATTTCAAAGCCGAGGTTTTTGTAGGCTCCCTCTAGCTGCTAGACGGGGGCTCATGTTCAGAATCTACAGACGAGTAGGTATGGTAGTTTAAAGCAGGTTTTGACAGTTCATAGTTTATTTTCATGTTCTGCGGTGTGGATCTGATGCTCCAAAGCCCGAAGGCGCTCAGGATCAAGTAAGTTACGGTCCACTGAATCAACTCCCAACGAGAGCATGCGCACTACCTTGTCCGTATGGAATGTCACCAGCCCGCGAAGTTGGCATGATGCTGCGTTGACGACTAGGACCAAGACTGTTCAGGCAGTACTCACGCATCCCTGGAATCCCAGGCCCTCAGACTCACCCTCAGCCCTTATCCCCCCCCCGGAATTCAAAAACAAAACTTGAACCACAACTGTGTGGTTCTTAGTAGGGAATGGGGGAATGCATCCCTATGCAATAGTCCCTATGTAATCCCAATAATAGTCCGAATAACCCATTCCCCCATTCCCTGCTAAGAACCAGACAGATAAAGCTGGCCAAGGTGACCACGGCCTCCTGGGCCCTGTCAAACCTTCTCGCTGAGAGCCCGGAGGCCTCTCCCTTAAGCAGCTGGTGAATGACGGCCCTAAACTCCTAAAACGGTTTAGGGTTTTTAGGGTTTAGGGTTTTGAAGGTTTAGGTTTTGGTTGGTTGCTGGGTGTTTATAAGGCTTAAGCTGAAGCTTTTTGGTTTAAGGCTGCAGCTACAATCCTTGAGGTGTAGGGCCTAGGGTTTACGACTCTTAAAGTGTGAAGCTGTAAGTTCACGGACATGTAGAAGGCTTTACCGTTTAGGCTCATCGTCTCTCTCCCTCTGCTCGTTTTGTTGGTTTGTGTTTGTCTCTGCGCTTGTGTTTTACGGTTCTGTGGCTTGGATAAGGCGAGTTCTCGGTTTCCGTGCATGGTGTGTAGACTGTAGTTTCGTAGTAATTGGTACTTCATGTAAGTTTCCTGCCATTATCCTCTCCAATACGTTCTTCCTTGTCCCCTCCTCCTCGCCGTTCAACCCTCCACTGACGGCGGACATGACGTTTTCGGTGCTGGCAAACGATGTGTTGGCAGGGGAGAGCGTGGGTAGCTGCACTACAGCCGCCGCTTCCGTTCTTTTGGGCGAAAGGTGCATGTGTGTTCGAGTCTGTGTTTGTGTTTGTTTCGTGCTGCAGTTTCAGATCCGGCTTCATGTATTGTTGTACAGAAAAAAGATTGTCGAGGATTGGTACTGCACTGGGCGGGGCGATGACTCCTCACTCTCACCCTTCGTATGTGTGCTGCAAACGCTGCGGCCGATGTGACGAATTGTTGCGGGCTCGGATGCAGCTAAGGCGATAGAGCATGTGTGCTCTATTGGTGGGATGAGCACGGCCGCGCAACCCTCAGATTTGCTTTGTCTACTTAGATGCAGGTGTCATTAATTCGAAGCAGAGCTCTCTCAGCTCTGGTGAGTTTCGCCCATGATCAAAACGTGGTGTGCCAGCGTGGAACCTGCTTTGCTGCTTGACCTTTGTTTGACCTCCGGCAAGCTCCGAATTCTAGAGAAAGCCTCCATCGAGACCAGGTTGCAGCAGTATCTTGTGACCTCTTGCAAGGTTGCACTCTTGAAGAGTTCAGTGTCCTGCACGGATCTCAGCCACACAACTTTGCACATACAATTTTCTCCGGTGCATCACTGGCCGGCCCAGTGCTGCTGATTGAAGGCATTCGTCGTGTTCTGCTTGCTTCCTAGGGAGGCTGCAGAGCCACCTGGGAGTTTCCGAACATTAGGGGTACCCTGTTTTGGGGTCCTTATAATAAGGATCCTACTATTTAGGGTACTGTATTAGGGTCCTCCATTTTCGGAAACTCCCACCTGAGGCCATGAGCATGCCTGCCAGTACCTGTCGCCGCCTCAAACTCTTGGCGTTGCGCAGCTGGGCCGAGTGGAAGTGCTCCTGGTTCGCGGATCCCATAGGGTTGAGGAAACGAGATCTCAATATGATCCCTGTTAGATTAGGATTAGGACGTTTTATAACAGGAAGATTCTTGCTAGGACTATGCCCCCCCCCCCCCCCAAAGGAATTTGGAACAAGGGTGCCTAAAGCCGATTCCTTCATCGCGGCCCGAACCCATCTCTAGGTTCACCTCAAGAGGATCCTCTTAAAGCCTTTTGTTAGCCCTTGCGACCCAGTACCGTTTCAGGGACTTTAACTGGGTCATATGGGGTTTCGTAGTCTCTAGCAGCTGCACAGACGAGCTTGTATGCTCATCGTAGCTGGACGGGACCGGAGGAAGCGGCAACAACTCGTAGTTACTATGGTTAGAACGTACGAAAGCTCTTTCACAGGAGTATAGATCAGAAGAAGAGGGGCTTGGAACCCCGAGCTTCTGGTGAGAGGCCACCCTTTCATATCATTGCAGCAGAAAGCTTCCTGCGAGACCCGCCTCGCAAGCTGCGGTCTTCTACTTGGCATCCTAGGCATTCTCTTTCCTCTCTTCCTTATGGCTCTTCTTCTTCCAGTCCTTGCATCAAAGGGTAAAAGGAGGGACCCCTAATAAGGACCCCTAGGTATATACCCATAACATAGCCATTATATACCCATTATATAGCCCATTATAGGGTAGGGGTCCCCATTAAGGGTCCCTCCTTTTCCCCTTTGATTCCAAGCAGAATCAAGCAGACCATGGGTTGCGAACAGGTGTCGGCTCATCTGCGGCCTCGGAGGCCAACTGAGTTCTCGGGATTACTTAAAGGATCATTGGACTTAGTACGTAGGTTGTAATTGGGGTTATTTATAACCTACTTATAACCTTACTTACTAAGTCCCATGCCTTCAAGTAGGGTATCTTGGGTTTGTGGGTTCAGCTACAAGGCGAGCATCCGTGCTGCTGGGAAGCCGGGGGTTTTGAAGGCTGCTAGGGTTACCGGATCTGTTTCTTTGGAAGGCATAGGTGGGCTGCCTAAAGTGGAAGTTCCCTCCAGACTGAAGTACGGATCTCAGGTCCATGGCGAAACCTTCGAATCCCACCACAAGAATCAACATCGTCATGTTCATGCTCACCAACACAGCTGCCACCAACTGCCCCAGGATCGTGACCATCACTACGAACTCATTGCCGCCAGCCTCACATGCAGAAATGACGTCACCATGTTTTGAGACAGTCATATGAGTCGTGAGTGTGTTATCATGTAGGTATCCACTCACCAATCGCGACAAGAAGAGAAGACGGTGGCCACAACAACTCTACGAATATGTAAATACCTCAGCACCGCCACCATCGACGACAACACCCCCCAATCACGGCAGCAGCAACAACAACAACAACAATGGCAGCAACAAGCAGGACCAGCAACAGCAACAGCAACAGCAGCACCACTACCGCCACAACCACCACAAGGCCTGGAGGCTCCACAAGACCCTAGCCTCAACCCTGGGACACTAAACCTACCCTACCCTGCAGTGCGGGCTCCGCTTTGCTAAGCATGGGAGGGAAAATGCCCATCGAGCATCTGAGGTGGCCCCTCCCTGCCCGCGCGCCGGGGCCGTCGCCGCTCTCAGTGCACCGGGTTCCATGCTGTATTCTGATGTGGTGGTTAGATGGAGAGTTAATGATTCGTGACAAGCTGGCCAGCGCAGCTACAGAAATTGCAGAATTAGGGGCAGAGTGAGTCTCCATTTGAAGTCGTTGCTTGTCACACCTATATACCCGCTTGCAAAGATACCTTGGCCAGGGCTTCTCACGCATTTGAGACAGCACTGAGACCCCCAAATTCAACATCATCACGGCCCCAACTTAGGGCCCGAAATGCTTAAGCGTGTGATTACCGTCATGTTTCTGATATGGTTGAAGTTCTGAGACCCGAACCCTGCCGAAAAGAAACCGTTTAGAGGAGTTGCGAGACTTTGAAAGAGGAAAGCTTGGCCATTAGCCATGGTAACATAATTACCCTTGCGTTTAGAGGCTTGGAGCTTTAAGGATGCATTTTCGGGTGTTTGGGTGTAGGGCAGTGTAGGGCTTAGGATTTAGGGCATGGCCTGGGCCACAAGACACTTCGTCACTTCCTTGTCCCCCAATTCTAGAATTTGTTGGAATTTACGTAGAGGCCGAGCCTCGCAGAACCAAACCGGATTCGGTAAGCTCTTGGATGCTTGTGCTTCTACCTGACACAGAGGTCGGGAAGAACTAGTGTGGTATCCCCTCAAATAGTCCCCGTATACTAAGACTAGAATGGACCGCAAGCACCTTGATAAATTAAGTCCCCTAGTTCAAGCCTTACACTCTTTTGACCGAGATCGTGTATCGAAACCCTGAATCCTTAAACCCTACGAACTTGGAGGTGCACCCGAAAATCTGCAGCTTTAAACCTAGAGCAATGAGCCCTATAGGCCCTAAACCTCAAAGTCCTGAAGCCGTGAACCTATTCCATCCCTTATACATTTTCAGGAATTTTCCCCAATTCATGGACCTTGGGAGTCTCTGGGAAGATCCTGCTTGAACAACAAACCTCGCCGGCATCCAGTTGGAGTTTCGGCCAGTAGTTGAGCAGGGGACAGGTCTGTTGAAACAGTTCCTGCGAGGCGCGGTTCTGGGTTCAGGCTTGGAGTGTTTAGGGATCAGGGTTTAGGGGAATGGGGTTTAGGATTAGAGGGCCAGGGGATTGGGGTTTAGGGATTAGGGTTTAGGGGTTTAGCATTTAATTAGGTTTGGGGGTTGTTTTGAAGGTTTCGGGTCCATCTCTGAAGTGTTGAAGCTTTTACGTTGCACGTTGTATGGTATAGTATAGGAAGCTCTGCTCAACGCGGGATCTCGGCCGGAAGCCACCCTGTGCAAGCAATTCCGGGCCATGGGATGTGATATCATAACACAGAAGCAATATGCAAATAGTGTGTGTGTGTGTGTATATACATATATATCTGTGTGTATACACACATGCACCTACCTGCATGAATGTCATGTAGACGTACACACACACACACATTTGTATGTATGTATGTATGTATGCATGTATGTATGCATGTATGTATGTATGTATGCATGCATGCATGGATGGATGGATGTATGTATGTATGTATGTGTGCATATATATATATATATATATATATATATATAATGTACACGTATACATATACATGTGTATACGTATATGTATGTTGTATACACATGCATACCAAGAGACTGACGTTGAGTAGGAGGAGAAGTCACGGGAAGGGGGACGACCTCAAACCAGCCTGTCAACGCCCACTTGCTGTAGCCATGTTGACTGGCACGCCATGCCGAGCTTAGTGTAGGGGCTCCGATAGCCTACAGCGCTTCGTTTCCGATGAACTGTAACCTGGCACTCTTTTCCATTCCAACCGCAGCGCCAAGATTCTTCCATGCTTGGAGCCGACCGCTATAAATATGCTCCAAACTTTGGCCTAAACCATACACTGCCCCTCAACCCTACACCCCATGTGCCTAAGTAGGTTTAGAGTTTCGGGGTTCAGTTGCAAAGAAGACCCGCTTGCAAAACCCTGGCAGGAAGAACCGCCCGTGATGGCTCTCCAGCTCCCGGTTCAGAAGCGTGAGGTGGCTGGGACCCAGATATACCCACATGGGGATTTCCGAAAACAGGGGTACCTTATTTTGGGGTCCTTATGATAAAGATCCTACTATTTAGGGTAGTATATTAGGGTCCCCTATTTTCGGACACTCCCAAGTTCCTCGATGAAGGAGTCGACCTTAAATCATATCCGGAGTCCGCTCAAAACTTTGAGGTGCATCCCTCAACTAAGGAATCTTCCTGAAATCATAGCTGTGGATCCTACTATAATTTGATGTCTGTTTCTTAATTCAGGGATATGGCTCCTTGCACCTATATGGGAGTTTCCAAAAATTAGGGCTATTTTAGGGTTCCTTCAGAGCGTTACTATAAGGGTTCTATAAGGGCTCCTTTCAACGGCTCCGTAAGGGTTCAGAGTTTGGAAAAATTAGGTGGTACCTTATTTTGGGGTCCTTATTATAAGCATCCTACTATTTAGGGTACTATAAAATAAGGGTTTCCCATTTTCGCAAACTCCCTTATGGTACTAAGGGTGCGAGAAGGGTTCCACAGGGTATGGAGTTTAAGACTCCATGTACCTACAGAGTAGGTACTTAAGCTATAAAGGGGTTCGTACAGAATTTAAGGCTTATGTATATACCACATACCCGTAGGTACATGGAGCCTGAGGGCACGGGATATCTCCTGAATGCATCCACAATGCCCCACGTCCTGTGACCCGAAATCGAAGCCGATTTGAGCCTAAATCCCCACACCTGGAAGCCAGAAACACATACCGAAATCCCGAACCTAAAGCTCAAAGAGTCAAAGACCCTCGAAAAACGCGAAGCCCGAGCCCTGAACAAGGTGTGCAGCTACACCAGCGACCTGGGCGCAGGAATTCGCCCGCAGACCCCGGACACACGATCGCCGTCCGCCCTGTCCACGGAGACCTTTGGTGCCGCTTAGCTGACAGGTGGAGTCCCTTCTTTACGTTTCAGTGGTCAGTATCATTCAGGGGGCCTAATCTCTGCTGCCCCGACGATCCTTACAACCCTGGTTTTTTTGTCAAGGCCTCCCTAAACGCTGTCGAACTGAGGACGGTCGGGACACTGACGAGGCAAGCACTCCGCCCGGGGCCCACAGTCTGGGCGAATGTATCTGTGGAAAGATGCCCATGGAACGACGAAGGTTCAGGGGTTTAGGCTTCTGGACGTGCAGCATGTACAAGTAGTCGGACACAATCCTGTTCGAGCAAGCACAGCTGGCCCGTATCCTAACACGCACAGCACAGCCAATGACACACAGACGCCCACAGCCAAGCACATACAAAATCGGGTTGAGAGCATCAGAGCCTCTGTAGAATTGAAGTGCACAGAAGTTTTTCTGCGAAAACGACGAAGTAAGAGTTTACCATGCCGCGCAATCTGAACTAGTCACGAAAGATTAATTGGACGGGAAGGTGCCAGTTTGCGATCGGGGATTGGTGTACGACGTATGAGCCCCTGTCAGATACGAAAGCAGCTCGACCACCTTGAGTGTCACAGGCATAAGGTCGCGTCTAGGATGTAGGTGTTTGGGTTTAGAGTGTAGCTAGCCATGAAGGTCCAGAATATTCGAGACGAACATGGCCTGAAAGCTGCAAATACACCAAGGAGGAATCTGTGGCCAGCGACACCAACTCCTTCGCCGAGGCTGCTGGCGTGTGTTTGTTACTGTTCAAGTTTGGGGCTGATTTGGGATGGCTTTCGGCCTTAAGGTTAGGTCGTTAGGGCTCGCGGGTTAGCTCCAGCAGGTTTGCATGTCAAATTTTGGTACATTCGGAGCTTGAGTTGCGGATGTTGTGAGGGCCATCTGAGGGGGGGCGATGTTGTTCTCTTTCGGACAGCTTGCGCAATCTCGGCGTTCGAGAATGGTCGTCGACCGTGCCTGTAACCGAATTTGGGCAGAATTTCAGATGTTGGTTGCACAGGGTGTTGGAGCCTGAGTGTGTCGTAGGCACCACAGTCTTTGCTTACCTGGCCCTATGGTATCATGCCCAAACATGGGCCGCCGTAAGCAGTTCGCACCCAAGTCACCGCACCCAAGATTTCATGGCTCACCCATGCCCGGAACCCGCAATGGAGCGTCATGTGTCACTTCGCTGCGGAGTGCAAGCAGGTATTCTACTCCCAAAGGGTCCTAATATAGAAGTCCCAGATTCTTCTATACTTTTGGTACTCTGGTCGCTTTTGGAATGACCGTGGCACCCTAAACCCTAAACCCTGGTCTCAGCGAGACCTCACTGGAGGGGTCGGATGAGAGCGAACTTGAGGGAGCATGAACATGGCGTGGCGTTGCGCAGTAGTGCGACGCGATTGGAAGCCTGTGATAACGAATCTCACCATCCCTAGGATACTGCTCGGAAGACTCTGAAGTACAATGTTGCTTGAGAGTGGCCAATGTGCTGGACGCATGTGCACCCGGATCCTCGCCTGCTTGTCTAGTTGTGAGTGCTGAAACCCTGGTCTCATCAGGGAAGCAGGCCCTACTATTGGGGCCCAAATAATTTCCAATATCTTTTTTGGTGGGGTTCCTTATTGATAGTGTCATGGGTTCCAGAACCCTATTCTAATTCTTAAGGCCCCGGTAGTA